GGAGGCTTCGCCCTGCTCCTGTTGGCAGTCGGCCAGCTGGTTCACTGGCAGAATCGTTGTGTGGCGGTTGACCAGCAACGACGATCTCGTGCAATGTGGCCCGTCCTCTCTCGACTACGGTGCACCCTGCTCCGCCACCTAGACTCCGAGCTCTTTTGGTTGGGACAGGAAGAGTTCCTCAGGCGGTGAAACGGGTGTCGACGTTTGTTTGGTACCGGACACGATCCTGACGCCTGCCCTTAACAGCTCCGCTGTAATTATCTGCGGATATGCAAATTCCTAGCATGTTCGAAACATGTTTGCTTCATACATTCTTCGACATGTCCGCACACCATTTTTGTATGACGATTCTTACAAAATGGTCATACAAGCTTTTATGACAATTTTGTGAGGCAAAAAAAAAAGAAAAACGGCTCGGACAGTTTTTGCTTATTGTAGTTTGTATGGTGTGTTCGGAGTGCGACCGCGGCCGAAGTATAGTAGCATTGGAACACACTTTTAAGCGAGGGTTGTGGGGTTGTCACTCTGGAATCGGAATGATTCCGAAATCATTCCGCATTTTCACAACCACGGAATGGAATGGGGATGGAATTGGCTAACTTTTCCCGCAATGGATTGAGAATGGGACGGGCTCGGTTCTTATGCGAGCTGTGTCAATTATCATCTAGGTCCTACGGGCTGATGGCACAATCGGGTAGCTCTTGGTAAGTGGCTCTTGAAACAGCATCATTGCGCCGGAGGTGACTGACGGCTTGATGGTATCACTGGCTTATGCACCTTGGAGGATGAAAATGGAGCGTCCTCAGTGAAGCAACAGCAACCAAAACAGGATAGTTTTAGACAGACGAGAGTCGTTCCTGGCGCCGCGAGATGCGACAAAGCGGCTGCTGTAATCATGCGTGATTAACATGTAGCTTTCAACTAGAGTGTCGAAACAATTGAACCAAAAATCGGAGCCAAACCGTTCTTTTTAACAGAAGCGGAACAAAACGGTTGCCGAAATCAAACATTTGATATTGAATCCGAACCGAAACAGAACCGTAATTTTATGCGGCGGTTACCGGTTCATTGGAAACGGTTTCGCACAGTAAAATGTTTGCCGCGCCTACTTGCGGAAGTGGCGCCAAGCCAAGTAAATATTTGAGACGGTGCCATCAGTAGCACAGTTTTGATTAAACAAACGGAAGAGGCGACATGGAGAAAGCTAGAAAATAACGAAACAAAGAGGTACCTTTTACCTCTGTGTGCAGCACGAATCGGCGTCGGTGAGAAGGCGTAAGCTTCTAACTTTGTTTTCACCTTACCCTGGAACGCGAAGGACGCTACGAACTACTTGAGTCAATTCATAGCGCTTAGAATGTCACGTGCCCTTCCGGTTGGGCAGAGTGACGCGGGGAGCGCGAAATCGCGAGACAATCTATAAACTATGAATTGGCTCGGTAGGTCATGGCGTCCATAGCAGTAAAACAGAATATATCTGCCTATGTCGAAAGACTAAAAAGCTATCCGTTGTGTGCGTGTGTGCATTTTCGTTTTCTTCTTTGGCTGCTAAGCAATGCTCCTCAAGGAAGGAGAGCACGAACATAAACATCAAAATAAAAACAAAAAGTTGATGCCTGTTGGCGCTTTTGCTCCGCTGTGGCGACGTCTGGAGGCGCCAGGAGGCGAAGTCCCGACAAGCGCGACACTGCGGCGCCGGTCGACAGTCGCGCAGTGCCCTGGACGCTGCTTGAAGAAATGTTTTACAGCGGAGCTGTTAAGCGCTAGTTTCCCCAGAATCGTGTCCGCCGGGTTAGAAATTATGACACTGAACTCTGGACAGCTACCACCATCTATGAGCGACGGCGGCAACCAGACATCTGGCTGCTGCCGTCACTCATAGATGATGGCAACCTTTCTTCGGAGGAAGAAGAGCGAAAGCAGAACGAGCGGCAATGTGCGCAGCAGTGCGATTGGTTCCGCAGCCGCCGCGAAGCCGCTATCGCCTGAAGTTGCACTGCATCGAGCGCATCAGATTCCCTTGCGAACGAAGAGCAGGTCGCTCGCCCGCATGCAAAGTCACCGCCGAGAACAAAAGCTACAGCTCCGCTGCTCTTCCTTCTTCACCAGAGGGAAAAGGCTGATTGTGTTTTATTTGTGTGTTTTGTAGATACAGCAAATCACCCGTTGTACTTTTTGTGCTTTTTGATTTTGTTTTTTAGAGAGCAGCTCTTAGGGGCCCGTTTCCGGCTTGAGCGGCGTCGCCGTCGCCGTAACCGCGCAGTGCATTATGGGACGCGTGACGTAACTGATGACTTTATCGGCATCGTCATCGTCACTGATAACGTTATCGGCATCTGCATCGTGATCTTCACTGATGACGTCATCAGCGACGATGACGATGACGCCATATCGATGACGTCACACGTGACGTCGCTGGTGATGTCACTGATGACGTTTTGACGATAACGTCATCGTCACGTGACCTCACATGGGTCACGTGACTCCCGTGAGGTCACGTGACCCCGGTGACGTCACATGACCCCCGTGAGGTCACGTGATTCTTATGAGGCGGCGGCGACGCCGCTCGGACGAAGGAATAGCCCACAGAATGAGGAGGTGAGGAAAACGGAGGAAGGCATACCTTCCACTCAGTACTCTTCCCTCCTCCTCCTCAAGAGCTGTGCTCTAATTCGGCGTTACAGTGAGTTCCAAACGGCATTTATTTTTTTTAATCGTCTTTCGATTGGCCTTCCCTTTCCTTCTCTTCAATTCAGTCCTTTCTTCCAAGTCGTTCGGGCGTTTGGCGTGGGTAGTTTGCTGTTTCGATCTGGATGAGCAACGTAGCGGCGTGCGGTCGTGCATCACTACTGCGTGAGCCCGCGAAGAAGCCAGGCTAGCAGTCCTACTCCCCTGGCTACACTTCTCATCTAATCTGGGTAACAATTATCACTGTGCGTGCTGGCTGATTCACTTCACATGCGAGTACTGTACTTTGGTAGTTTCCGAGCACCTGCATAACAACGCAATTTTCGTAGAAAGGTGTTTGCGTAAAAAGGTGAAGATAACAAAATGAAGTTAAGCACATATTTGTTTTCTTGTTCTCACTTCCTCAGCACGGTTTCTGATGAAGTATTGTTTCTTTGAATGCAGATCACGCCGTGTTGAAGTCGAATTTTTTTATTAACGACCGGGAGGTGTGAATATATATATATTTAAGAGCCGGTTTGAACTGGTTTGCGCTTGGTGGAACCGGTAACTGAACCATTATGTAAAAAAAAAAAAAAAGAACAACAAAAAACAACATTACTGAAACTGGGGAAGCAAAAAAAAAAAGTAAAAAGCTGCTGAACAATAAGCCGATCGAAACCAGAATATTGACCGGTTCGATTCCCTGCTTTTATGTTGTAACCACGGTGGTTGAGCGGGGCTAGCTTTTCATAATTCGAGATGCATAGTTGAATACAAGAGCGGGGGTTGTAACCCAGCCGATCTTCTAATGTATGCGTGGAACAGAACTAAAGAATTCGAATGAATATGGTAAAAATTCGCAAGAATCGTACAGCAAACGTAGACGTTAACGTCCTATGGCAGGTTCCATAATATGGTACTACAGTCGCTTGTGCTGGCGCCGCGTACCGATTGCACTTTGTCAGCGGTTTTCTGCTCTTGCCTCAGTCATTTAGGGCAGCTATACGCGGAGTCGCTTCTAAGTTCTAACAGCGCACTAGAGGTGCTTTTGTGCAAGTACCCGAAGCAGAGAGCAATAGAGCTTCTTGCGCCACGCATCAACTAAACATTTTTACGGCCTTATCAAATAGACGACATGGCAACCCTGTATCTGCGGATGGTATAAGGTCTGTTAGCTAAGACCATCGGTGGTTTTAATTTGTAACGTTTGTTGCGACTCGCGAGGTTTTTACGCTTGATAGAGCGATCGATGTCTGCAGTGACACTAAATGACACGAAGCGCTTTGTGCGACCACCCTTCAGGCTAAGTAGAATGAGGACTTTGAGGAAGTTTTTGCATACTTTTTCAGTCTTATTCGCGTTTAACGTCAGTAGCTCTGTGCTGCAATTTTTCTAGTAACACTATGTGGTAGTCAGGGGCCCTTTTTCCACGCTAAGGGATTAAAGGCATAGAATTGTGGAGTTCCGCCATTACAGGAGTGGGAATGGGCTCAGTGTCTCCATTCCGAGGAGTTGAAATTAATGGAATTGTCGGAAACTCTAATTACCCGGATTTGAATTGCAATGCAATGAACAACACTGTTCTACGCCCTTCTTAAGTGTGCGGCGACGTTGGGGTGAAAGACATCCGCCAATTCATTCAATCAACATATGACGTCTAGGATCAGGCAAACGTGCTCCCAAAGACGCTTCGGTCGGGGTAAGCGTATAAGCGTTATCACAAACCTCTGTAACGTAAACAAATGACTTCCGTTTCACCGGAAGCTCGTGGCCAAATCGCAAAGGAGCTGCAATGCTAAGCATCGCGAGTCAATATTTGTAGCCGCCGGTCACTCAGCTACTCCATATTAAGATAACGTGCGGATTTGGTACAGGTTTGAAATCTATTTCGTTACATTTTATTTTATTACCCTTAAATCGCCCATTTCCAGGCTTTATAAAGGGAGAATACAAAATCAAGAACCAGACACACACAAATATATATGCACACACGCACATACACACAAGTTAGAATTCAGCCTCTGGCCAGGTCATTCATTCGAAGCGTGCCTCTGCAACCGTCAGTGTCTGAGCCATATCTGACAGCTTGTTCTACAATGCGGTCGACAGTTGTAATGGTGAATAATTATAACGGTTTATTCGGGGAATACCAAGGGCAAGCTTGCAACTGTTATTTGTTCGCGGGGATGTGTGTTGCGCGTGTATACACTATAGTATTGCTTTGCCAATAAAATAATCGCCGTTGGAAGAGACACACGCGGCATGCAAAATAATATTGGTTCAAAATTCTTTTATTTTTACTTTTTTTCTTATTTTTGGGGTTGTATATTTCGTCGTCGGCGTAACCTCCACGGATAATCTAGCTATATATTCAGGATATTCAGCTCCTACAGTCGATTAGAAGGTCAGAGCAGCTCTCAAACAGTCCTATAAAAAAAGCATAAAAAGGGGGGGGGGGGGAGGGGGGGGGGGGTAGATGTAGCATTCAACAAGAATACAGCGACAAAGCACTGCCATACACGTTTTAGAATGTTGACAAGACTCTCATGGACCCTTGTACTTGAATTCTTCAGCTTCATATTTAAAGAAGGTTAGCGGTATCGTGTTTCAGTGGTCATTATGGCAAGACAAGCGGAAGCCTTTTTGATACTAGGGGACTGCAAAGTTCGAACCATCTGATCGTGACTAAAGCACCTGTCGGCCGAAAAGTAACGCTATTTCCCTCTCCCATCCTCTTTCTGCCTGGCTGCACAGCGCCATTTTTGAGCGAAGGAGTCGTTCGATGCAACACCTTCTAAATAAGAAAGTCTAAAAACCCTGGTCCCACTGTCAATACACTATGCAAAAAAGAATTTGCAGACATTGCCTGAAGCGTGTTTCTTCGTCCTATGAAGGCCCTGCCACATTAAACACGCAAGGACGGTGTACAGACATGTGCGAAGCACACTTATAAGTATGAAGCGCAATCATGCTGCCAACATGATTAATGCGTGTCTGCAGGTCATTCGGTCATCATGTCTGCAACCCATGTCTCCGACAAGAAACCTTGCATCTCTGCAACGTTTCTTTTATGACGTATGAGCAGTGTGGCCGCAATTTTAGTGCTGAATTTTCCTGCGCCACTAAAGAAGTCTACCGCGGGCCAGAGATTGGTCACAACTGCTGCGTCATCGTTCGGTTGAAACTCGTGCCCGATCAGGGAGAACGCTAGTCCCTGCCCTACGCTGACGAAGCAGCCCTGCACCTTTTGTGTCCCTACGGTGACCTTCTTGGGTGGCGCAGGAAAATCAAGCACATGGGCTTTCTTATCATCGTCGTGATGATCATGATGACAATAATCATGATGACTACGTCGATGAGTCATTAACCAACACATTATCACGGAGGTGTTGGTGCATGACGAAATCACGTGCGCTCACGTGACTCCTGAACGGCCTAGGTGCTTCCCTCTCCCTCTTCTTGTCTCCTTTTTCTCTTGCTATGCGAGGCCATTTTTGAGCAAAGGCGCCGGCGAGGAGAAACATTTTGGACAATTAAACTAATATCTTTTTTTTGTATTCCGGTGCTTTAAGCATAACATATCCCTCGCCCTTCTGAATCGATAGGATTACTAAAGGACGGTAAAGGCTCGACGGTATAAAGGCTCGACAGGCGTACAATGATCAACGTTTTCCCTTTTCTACAACGCGCCATCTCTCTCTCTCTCTCGCTCTCTCAGTCAAGGCAATACAACCTAGAAGACAAGGTCCGCGCGTCTAATCCCCCCCAAACGTCACATCGCTTGTGGATCCATGCAGCACCTGCCTGACCCACGTCAGCATCACCGCCAGTGCGTCCTCCAGCACCTCACAGCGAGCGAGAAGCTACACTCTAAAAAAAGTCTGTGCGTCCACTTTCCCGCACTACACTCGGAGAGCCGATCACGGAAACTTACGAAGGCAGCTCAGCGAATGGGGATGCCGAAACATATGTTTAGACCAAAAAGCGCAGTCTGAGTTGTGACATTAAGCAATGCAAAACGTCACGCCTTGCATTGCTTAATATCACAACTCAGACTGCGTTTTTTGGTCTAAACATGTTTCGGCAACGTCATTCGCTGAGCTGCCTCCGTAAGTTGCCGTGATTGGCTCTCCGAGTGTTGTGCGGGAAAGCGGATGCACGGGCTTTTTTTAGAGTGTAGCAGACGGTGACACCAACGACAGACGCGTCTGCCTTTTGGTGGCGCCTCTCGCCGAGCCTCAGCGTATTTGCCGATTGAAGTGGGTCGTGGAGCCACTAACCATGACGTCATCTGCAGACCTCCTCTTCTTGGTGGTATACGGAGGGCAAGTTTGTCTGCTTCTTGCGCAGGGGCTGCGGTAACTTCAGAACGCCGAGTTTTGATTGGCTCAGATTGGACGGATAGTGGGTAGACATCGATGCTAGCTGCCTTGAGATCTACCCAGTGTTCTTCCAACCGGAGCCAATCAGATCTCGGCGTTCTGAAGTTACTGCAGCCCCTGCGCAAAGAAGCAGACGAACTCGCGCTCCCCATTGGCCAAGGACTGATGTTCAAGCTGCACTGAGTTCGCGATCACGCCCTCAATTAGTCGTCTGCTGGGCGGGAAGCAGACGACGCCACCGCGTTTCCCGTTGTTAATCGCCGAGAAACCGAGGACGAGGAGGAGACGAGAGCCCGTGGGGACGTGGGAACGTCGAGCTTTGGGTCCAGTGAGTAGTCGGTAAACGTAAAGGTAGCCGCGTTTTTCTCCACTGAACTCGTCGAACTTGTTGGAATGTGAAAAACAAACGCTGGACGCCTGCATTCCGCGTTTTAACACGTTCCACGAGTGCAGTGGAGAGAAAAGCTGCTAGTCTTAGGTCTACGCACTAATCATTGCAACCGGATCTCGGCGTCCTTACGTTCCGGCACGCTCTAGTCTCTCTCTCTCTTTTTTAGTTTCTCGACGGATAGCCAGCTGTGTTTGAGCCTCGGAGCGTTCTTGAATTATTTATTACGTATAGGTAATAGCATTACACTCAGCGTTCTCGGCATTTCTTTCGTGAATCAAAAATAAGATAAAGTCAGTCAGTGGAATTCGGAACTCAAATATTTTTGTGAAGAAAGAAGAATTTACTCACCATTCCTTCGTCGAAAAGTTTAGCATCGTCATCCCCCATTCCTGTCGAAACCTGTAAAAGGTGGCGAAACTTAGTGTTGGATCTAGCCAGTGTTGGCGAGAACGCGTTACGGAGTAACGACGTTACCGGTAACGTGTTACGATTTCCGGTAACGTTGTAACGTACTCGTTACTTTTTTTTCAAAACAGTAACGTAGTTACGTTACTCATTATATATTCTCCCCATGACTTAAAATAAATACACTTCAATTTTCTTTCGTGTTTCAAGGCGCCAAGCTTTATAAATTTGTGCGTTTTTTGCGTTTTTCCTTGCGTTCTTTTCTTAGGACTATTTAGGTGGAACCGTAAAAAAGATAAGGTTATTCTGTTTGAGGTCTGGATAAACATATGGTCTCTTGAAATATCAAGCTTAAACAAATACCTGTATCGTCAAAAGAGTGAAACGTGTTAATTCATAATAAAAAGTAAAGCGTTACCGTGAAGCATGTTACCGATAAAACTAAGGTTATTGGTAACGCGTTCCTATTGTTTTGAGGTAAGGTAGGTCAGGAACGCGTTCTTTTTATTTGCAAGTAACGAGTAACGTTTTTTGTTACATTTTCTCGATAACGCGTACAGCACTGGATCTAGCACGGATGTATTCCAGCGAATAATTAACATTTTACTGATAGTACTGTAATTCCATACCAAGGGCGAGTAACCATTGCAAACAACGAAAACGAAAGCGATAATGTTTGTTAATGAGGTAAACATATTGTAGCGTGAAAATAAATGAGTTGCCGATGGTGGTACGCGGCGGGCCGCTTGCTGTGCTCCCCTTCCCTAAAACCGGTCGTCGTCACAGCGGAGACGGGCTCGACTCGCTCCGGCCTTGGGGGCCCGCCGGTTTCTGAACACGTGCACCGCGCATGCGAGGAAGTCCCCCGGGCCGGAGGGAGGAGGGAAGTGGTTTGGCGAGTTTCGCCGCTGGGACAGGGCAGTCGGGACTCGGGAGGCAGGCCGGTAACCGGACCGTCGTTCCGCCAGCGGAAAGTTTTGTATCCCTAACCCTTGTCATTCAGTGTCCTACACTTACGGTTGTTACAAGTGGTGGAGGTGCGGGGTAGGTCCAAACTCTACGATATGACAGCGGTTTCAAAGCTGGTGGGGCGCCTTCAGTCGACGCCATCGACACCACGGACGGCCTAGAAGGAGCGGCCGACTCCCGGGTTCTGCGGAGCGGGAGGATCATCAACACGGCGGCGATGGCCACGAACCAGACCCCAGAAGCCGGAACACCGGGAGCTGCGGCGTTCAGGTCTATGTTTACGCCACCGGTGTTTCAAGGCAATCCGGAAGATGACGTCAGCGACTGGCTGCTGTTCTACGAGCGGGCAGGGGATTTCAACGGTTGGGACGGAACGCGCCGTGAGCAGTACCTGTGCGTTGCTCTTGGTGGAAATGCTCGAAAATGGTACTCCACGACACTGCGAGGGACCAACGCACCAACTACCTGGGAAACGTGGAAGGCAGCGCTCAAGGAGACCTTCGGGAACCGCAGCATGCGGGAGTGGGCCCATCTGCGGCTCAGCCAGCGGTTCCAGCTGCCGTCGGAGCTACCGGAAGAGTACTTCTACGATGTACTCCAGCTCTGCGCTCGAGTCAACGAGGCCATGACAGAGGAGGAAAAGCTCCGACAGCTGACCCGCGGCCTCAGGCCAGAAATGCTGGAACGAGTCGTTCTGGCCAACCCGCAGACCACGGCCGACTTCCTCGGCACACTCCAGCGTCTGACCCAAGCAAGCGAGATGGCCAAACATAATATGTGGGCTATGCCGTCCCATCCACTGCCGGGATTTAACACTCGGCCGTCGCAACACGCGAGTCAGGAGGTACGAGCCAGCCAAGCTTTCTCGGACCCCCAAGGAGCAACGCCACAAGGGATGACAGCACCGGGCTTCTACCAACAGCCGTCTGCGCCACCGCCTGAGGTTACGTCGTCGCCACATCTGCAGTCGGAGGTGGGCAACTTCTTCAAAACTCTGACCGAAGTGCTTAGACCGCTCACCGAGTACAATGCCAGAAGGCCCACATTCCCCGCGCGCACGACACGCGCCGCCAACGGACAGCCTATCTGCTTTAAATGCGGAAGAGTCGGACATATCCAGAGGAGCTGCCCAAGACGCGACGTTCAGTCGGGAAACGGACCCGCCCGGGACTAAGGCCGCCTCCCGGGGAAGCAAAGGGTGAGCCACTTCTCGCGACTGTCGCAAAGAGCCACCTGGCTATGCTGCCGGCAACAGTGCATGGCGAGAAGACGTCTCTCATTCTCGACACGGGATCGGCAGTAAATGTGATTTCGGGAAGATTTCTCAACACGATCAAGGCCCCTTTGAAGTGCAGCCCCTCGGGTATAAGGGTGAGGGTGATCAGCGGCGCAGTTATAGTGCCGCGAGGCGAAGTTGAACTTGAGATAACAGTCGGGGTCAACAAGCTTTGGGAGCGTTTCCTCGTAATCGAAGGGTTTGACTACGACGTGCTATGCGGCCTGCCATTTTGTCGCACTGCGGGCGTGGTACTGGATTTCCCTGACAAGTGCATTTATTTGCTGGGACAAAAGTTCGGGCTTACCGGTCATGAATCTACCACTACAGGAGACGCGCCCGTATACTGCTGCGAAGAGGTTTGCATGCCGCCACGCTCTGAGGCCGTGGTGTTGGTGAGAGCTGACATGAACGGACTGGCCGTGATTGAACCTGCGACTGGCAACCACTCTAAACAGCGTCCAGTGATTGCTCGTACCATCACTGAACTTTCCGGAGGTATCGGATGCGTGCGAGTGGCCAATCCTGGCGGTTCTGAGCTTTTTATTGCTAAGGGCACAAAAATGGGAAACGCGATCCCTATCGCCGATGTTCAGCTGGGCGTCGCCGCTCCACTGACCTCGGAGACACTTGGAGCCAGGGAAGGCGTGTCGTTCGGAGAGACCTTGGAGCCAGGCGAAAGAGAACGCCTGCAGAATCTTGTGAGTGAGTACAGTCATCTCTTCGCATCGCCTGATTCTCCGCCTGGAAGGACTCATGTCGTGACTCATTGCATCGACACAGGCAGCGCGACCCCACTTCGACAGAACCCGTACCGGCACTCCCCGTATGAGCGAACTGTGATCCAGGAGCAAGTCTACGAGATGCTCGGGAACGGCGTGATTCGCGAATCGTCCAGCCCTTGGTCATCGCCAGTGGTACTCGTCAAAAAGCGGAATGATACCTGGAGGTTTTGCGTTGATTTTCGACGAGTGAATGAGCTCACCAAGAAAGATGTTCACCCGTTGCCAAGGATCGACGACATTGTTGACGCCCTGCAGGGAGCAAGGTACTTCACGACGCTTGACTTGGCCAGCGGATATTGGCAGGTCGCCATCGATGAAAAGGACAAGGAGAAGACGGCGTTTTCGTGCAGTTCAGGCTTGTACGAGTTCAATGTAGTCCCATTCGGGCTCTGCAATGCACCGGCCACCTTCCAACGCATGATAAACAAAGTCCTGTCGACAATGCTGTGGAGGGTGTGCCTCGCATATCTGGACGATATCGTGGTCTACTCCAGGACGATCGAGCAGCACCTGTGTGATCTTCGGGACGTCTTCGGGGCCCTCCACGAGGCCAACTTGCGCCTACAGCCCTCCAAATGCACATTTGGTGCCGAGGAGATTCGATACCTCGGTCATGTGATCAACGGAGTGACTGTTCGACCTGATCCTGAGAAGCTGAGAGCTGTGAGCGACTTTCGAGTGCCGAGGTCAAGGCGCGACGTACAGAGTTTTCTCGGCCTCTGCAATTACTACAGACGATTCATACGTGACTTCGCAAACATCGCTAGACCCCTCACCGACCTCACGCGAAAGCAGGCCACTTTCCATTGGGATGATGACTGCAATCGGGCATTCGAGGCTCTGAAGAGGTGCTTGACCACGGCTCCCATTTTGTGTCACTTCGATCCAGACTTGCCCACTGAGGTTCACACCGACGCCTGTGGGTATGGGATCGGCGCGGTCCTCGTTCAGAGAAAGGACGGCCAGGAGAGGGTGGTGGCGTACGTGAGTCGACATCTCAATCGAGCGGAGCAGAACTACTCTACGGTGGAACAGGAGTGCCTCGCGGTTGTGTACGCGTGCCGACAGTTTAGGCCGTATATTTTCGGAAGCCATTTTACGATTATCACGGATCAGTCTAGCCTGACGTGGCTAATGAATGCCAAAAATCCTAACGGAAGACTCGTCCGATGGAGTATTTTGCTGCAGGAATACAACGCAACCGTGACGCACCGCCCGGGCAGAAAGAACATGAACGCCGACGCTCTCTCACGACTACCAGTAGAGCAGCAGACCAACGACGATGAGAGCGAGCACCCGCTGCTGGCCTTGCGAGAAATCGACGTGCCAAAAATGCAAAGAGAGGATGGCTTTTTCAAGACGCTCATCGACCACCTCGAAGAGCCGGAGGCACCCGTCGCAGCGAAAACCAAGCGCGTTGCCCGGGCCTTTCACCTCCTCGATGGAGCACTGTATCGCCGGGCAAGAGGGTTCGAGAAGTTCCGGTCAGCCTTGGCTGTCCCCCGCCAGCTACGTAAAGAAGTCTTGTTATCGTGCCACGATGATTTGACCAGCGGGCATTTGGGAGTCAAGAGGAGAGTGCGCCAGAGGTATTACTGGCCGAGGATGTTTCGAGCCGTGCGCAGCCATGTGCGGTCATGCCCTGATTGTCAGACGAAGAAGACGCCACCCTTGATGACTGCAGGAAAGCTACAGCCGATACCGCCCAGCCCCAAGCCATTTCAGCAGGTAGGGATGGACTTCCTGGGGCCCCTTACCAGGACGACTGATGGCAATCGCTACGTTCTCGTCATCACGGACTACCATACCAAATGGGCGGAGGCGGTCGCAACTCCCGATGCGACAGCGGCAAGCGCCGCAACACACTTTTTGGAGCGTGTCGTGCTTCGACACGGAGCTCCCCTAAGCCTGATCACCGACAGGGGAAGGCACTTCGTTGCGGATATGATAGAAGAGCTCTTCCGATTGACCGCCACGAATCACCACCGGACCACTGCCTACCACCCGCAGACGAATGGGTTGTGCGAGAGATTTAACCGCACTCTCTCGCACATGATAAACATGTACGTGTCGGCTGATCATCGGGACTGGGACCGTTTTCTGCCATACGCGACCTTTGCCTACAATACCTCTGTGCATGACACGACGAAGTTCACGCCCTTCTTCCTTTTGCACGGACGAGAGGCAACGCTACCCCTTGATGCGGCACTAGGAGTACAGTCCGACGAGGTGCGGGCCCCGAGCAACCAAGAGGTGCTGCAGAGGTGGCAAAGAGCCAGAGAGCTTGTTTCCACTCGTGAGCTGGAAGCACAGCGGAAGAACAAACAGAGGTATGACGTCAGCAGAAGGGAGGCCACTTTTCGCACAGGAGACCTGGTCTACATTCGGACGCCCATCCGCAAACGCAATCGGACCACGAAGTTCCTGCACCCTTTCCATGGACCCTTCAGACTGCTGCGCCAGACCGGAGCGAACAACTGGGAAATCGTCGACCGCACCGGGCGCCGGAAGCACATTGTGAACGTGGCACGGCTAAAACCGTACTACGAACGTCCGGGAGACCCCGACGGGGACGGTGAGATTGGGGAGGATGCCTCGGCGGGGCTTGACCAAGCTAGTGATGAGAGTTCGGAGGACGAGTTCTTTGATGCCGCGGACGTACCGAACACTCCGGAACCGTCGAGAGCTCAAAGTGAAAGTGCTAGTACAGTGACCACAAACCCGGCAGATCATGGACTCCGACGCAGTGCAAGACTTGAACAAAGGAAGGGTCAGGTGTGACAATTGTATGTGCACTAAGTCCTCCGTTGCCGCTTATTTCTTCTGGCATGAAGTGCTTGTGTGTTCAGATGCTGCGCTTGCGGTTTTCTTTGGTGTATAATTTATGTGCGTGAAATTCTTGGTGTGTGTCGCGGATGTTAAGGCTGAGATTGGGACCTCTTCAGCTGAACAGGGAGGAATTTGTAGCGTGAAAATAAATGAGTTGCCGATGGTGGTACGCGGCGGGCCGCTTGCTGTGCTCCCCTTCCCTAAAACCGGTCGTCGTCACAGCGGAGACGGGCTCGACTCGCTCCGGCCTTGGGGGCCCGCCGGTTTCTGAACACGTGCACCGCGCATGCGAGGAAGTCCCCCGGGCCGGAGGGAGGAGGGAAGTGGTTTGGCGAGTTTCGCCGCTGGGACAGGGCAGTCGGGACTCGGGAGGCAGGCCGGTAACCGGACCGTCGTTCCGCCAGCGGAAAGTTTTGTATCCCTAACCCTTGTCATTCAGTGTCCTACACTTACGGTTGTTACAATATCTTAGAACGAGGTTCCTAGATAGCGTCACGACATTGCAATAAATATTGTGCGAGTCTTTTTTACTCCGTATCATATATCTTACTTAAAATGTTTTTTTTTTTTAAACGTCCCCTAGTTTCGCACATTCTGAAATTTCTTAATTCTTTTATTTCGTTTATGTACAGGATTTTGTGCCGCACAAATAGCTTAAAAAACATTTTTTTTTTGATCGGAACGGTTTCTTTTTAAACTTCCACAAATCGCAGCAGAAAAGTAACCCGTCTACCTTTGCGGTGCTCCTGTGCATTACTATGGAAAAAACGCGCGTGCATTGTGCCCCTTTGCTGGAAAACAACATAAATAACTTTTGTTCCCTGAATTGTACCGAATAGAATGTACGTACCTTCATTAACACTGTAAAAGTGTAATTATTTTGTTAGCACATTTCCTTCATCAACGAACAATGTTTAACTTCCCTAAATTCCAGGGCTCTCTTCCACAGCAGGTGAATAAAAACAAGCCGCGACACAATATAAAATAACAATCTAGAGAAATATAGAGTGTGTTCAAGGCTCGCCAGCATTCTAGTGACGCTTATATATAGCTAATATGCCAGTCTGTCATTATATAAAAATGACCCCATTTCGCCCTTTTACGAGCGGTTAAAAACATTCAAATCCTAAGGAATAAAGTGCGTGGGCTATGAAAAGTGTATTTTTTGTTTTTGTCATTTTTTCTATCGGGCAGATTTTATGAGGCACTTAATAGTTCTCAAAGATTTCGTGTAAGCGGGTTTTTTTTAACGTAGAGCGAGCATCTTCGCAGTGCATATAGGATTAAGCAGTACCTATACTTATTGACAATCGAACTATATTACGTGGTCTTCAATTTATTTTGATCGTACGTGCACAGGGAGTTACTAATCCAGTGTTACTGCCTAGTTCTTGCCGTTTCTCTTAGTGTTCTAGATGTCCTTCTCGTATGGCACGTAATCCCCCCTGCTGAAACGCGGCGACGTCGTATTCGCGCTAACAGTGTCCGCCAGTGCACATAAATACATCTACGAAGCAGTTTTACCACAGTTTTAAATTGGAAAGAAAAACGCCGTAACTGACCAATTCTTTCTATTTTGTCTGCCTGACTGAGAAATGTTTCAAGCCACCTATTCTGTACGAATTATTTGGGATATTTGCTCATGGAGAAAGTGCACTCACTTTTTCCCAAAGATATGCATTACCAGAAGTAAATTTTCGACTGGCTACTTTCAACTTCAATTTGCCACGGCAAACTAGCGACATTTGAACCTCTAGCGTACATGATACTCACCCTATAAACAAGCCAGTTCAGTCACACGATTCATAGTTGTTACTATCGTAAGAAATGCATTGGTTTAGATCTTCGCAAAACTCTGTTTTCTCTAGAACTCAGTTACAATTCGAGCTAAAAGTAAATCCCCCCCGCCTCCAAAAAAAAATATATATATTTTTTTTTATAAGCGTTAGTTATATAGAAAAACAATTGTTTATGTAATTGACTTACCTTCACAGTGGCGGTGGCTTCTCGAGAACAGTCGTCGAACTGCGATTGAGATTGACATCACACTTAATACAAGTGACCAAAATCAAAGATAGAATGAATTCTCTAAAGCAATCGCGCAATTCAAGCCCAGAGAGAAAACTGGTAGGCAATTTGTTAATAGCAGCGGAGGGAACGTTGCAGAATATTAACAATTTTGGCGGGGACGTTGTTTTCTTTTAAGAGACATATTCAGTTAGTTGTTAGTGTCAATCGTTTTTTTTTTTTTTTTTCGGAGCCTTATCGACCAGAGGATTAGACTTTGGAAGAGATTCTATGAGCTAACTCGTTTTCCACTCCTTATCTTAGACTCCCAAAACATCCACACAAAACAGCGATCGGTTTATTTTTTTTATCAGTTTAACCCGCGCGAATGCTGAGAAGTATCACTCCCAGGAGGTAACGGCAGTAGTACCGTCTGACATCGCTGACACGTATGGCGCAGCGAAGAATTATGTGTAGTATCTTTATCTGGGGCCTTTTGCTGGGACTTCTTATCTGGATCGTGGACGTAACAACAATTTTTTTTTAAAGTATCGCAACTTGAGACCTCGGGATTGCTTTCAAAATGTGTCATATGAGACAGTTAAGCCCTTATCAAAAAGATCTTACTGACGTCCACAGCCCACTTATCGGAAGGAATTCAGCATATCTCGACACCTCGTGATATACCTTTTTCAAAACTGCGCACAATCTAGTAGCTGCTGTGCCAGTTAATCGAGACTGCCATTGTTTACGCACGTTCTTTGAACTCGTACCGAAAACTAGTGCGGCGTTAGCGTGCGGTGATGATGCGGATTTACACACAAGCTCCATGCCCAAGAAATGGCGAGCGCCAATGCTGCCTGATATGGGTTTGAAAGAAGTCTATTCTATATTAGGGATGCCAAGGAGTGCGGCATGCGCATACGCTCGTAGGGCATCCCACAACGAATGCGACATCGGAATACATAGGCGCCATTGTGTTTTGTAGCTACATTTCAGCGATGAACCGAAGAAGCTTTTAGCGCTGGTGGTGTTTAAACGTCACCCATGCGCGCATTATACCAAAGGAATATTTTTTGATGATATAATTTTTGATATGATAAGACTTGTGGGTATTGGCAGTGGCGTATTCGAGTTGAGTCATGCGCTGTACTTTCACTGGGTACGGACCACAGTGTAAGGTATATATGGGTGAGGATACACAGCATGGCGAACGCTCCGACGTGATCGACCAGATAAAGTCCTCCTGGCGCTCGCCTGAGTAGCCAGCCTATAGCGTCTCCACCGTCCAGGCAGAACGTTGGTCCAGACGGCACAGCCGGGGAAAAAAAGAAACCAACAAAGCCAAGTAATGTCTTGTTCTGGGCGCTCGCACTTCCTGCTCGGAGCGTCTGCTTTGACCTTGACGAACGTTGGCTTGAACGCTCGCCAGAGATCACCCTGCTTCAACGCGTTCACAAAACTGTTATTTCCACTGTTGAGGAACGAAACTAGGATTGATAAAGAAGCAGTGCTTAAGCAATACACGGAGCTCAAGTTCCATGTTATACACGGCGTGAAGCGTCCATAAAACAACTTTAAAAAATGAAAGCCGTTTACAAATCCCTGTAACGCCGAATTGGAGCGCAGCTCTTGAGGAGGAGTAGGGAAGGGTACTGAGGGGGGTCACGTCACCTGCGGGTAGTCACGTGACCCCAGGGGGTCACGTGATCTCGGGGGGGGGGGGGTCACGTGACCTCGGGGGGGGGGGGGGGGCACGTAACCTGGGGGGGGGGGTCACGTGACCTCGGAGGGGGGGGTCACGTGACCTCGGGGGGGGGGGTCACTTGACCCCTCCCCCCCCCGGTTACGCCGACGCCGCTCAGGCTGGAAACGGGTCCCTAAGAGCTGCGCTCTAAAACAAGCCTCTATTACTTAGAGAAGCATGAGAAATCGGGCACGCGAAAGGCCGCCATTAGCCACACATCGAGGAGACATCTCGTCGCGCCGCTTGCAACCAAGGCGAGAAAAGGAACAGGGGTTTCCCCAGGAATTGAAATTAGGATGGGTGCCTAAATTCTTAGGGGAGGGGGCGGCATTAAGAATATAGGAGTCGTTGCGAATTAGGGGGCTGCTGTCCGAAAAACAACAGGGGGAGGTGTACACACACACACACCCCTTCCCCTCACACCCCGCCCCCCCCCCCCCCCCCCCCCCCCAGGGGTGCTTAAGGAACTCACTGAAGAGGGCTCTATCTGGCGGCTGTATGCGGCACGTGCAGTATCCGCAGCTATATGTATCTTACACCGTGATACAGACCAAGTCGTTCTTGTAAGGTAGAAGGTAGAAGACGTAAGAGCAAAAGTACAAACCATGCCTTTCCATTGTGATCGTTCGGCAGCTGCAATCTTCACGCCGCAATCGTTCATGGCCGGCAGCATTAACTCCACGACCTGCGAACATTAAAAACATTCGTTCGAGTGAAGTATTCGAAAGGATGTGGAACTGAAACGGTGATCTTCACTTCAATTAACGTTCTTTTCCATGAAGACAGCGCTAGTGTCAGGTACCGGAACTACTTTTGAAGATCGTCCTTGCCGCTGTACGATTAGGTTCTGCAGGCCTGCGGAGCAACGGAATAATTCTGCGCGTGTGCAAAACATCCGTTTTCCTGTCCCATTTCCTCCGAAGCTGCGAGTCTTCACCGCTAGAAGGAAGGAAAACTCGCGCATGGCTGGAACTCAATTTGGAAAAGGGTGATTGTCTTGTCCCACAATGCATACAAGCCACCATTACCGCTCGCTAACTTAATGAACTCGAATTTTGTTGGCGACCCTAGAACATTTAGGCATTGTCTTTTGCTCACAAATATGTACATGGCGCCTTCCCTCTCCCCCCACGGCGAAAAAAAAAAAAGAACAAAAATCATTAGCCATTCCACTCTAAAGGTTGATGACCAGTGAAACTGTTTAGCACACGACACAGACCCGCCCCGAGGAGCCGGAGGAAACTAGGCTCGCGCGGCGGGGCGGCCACCCGGCGGAAAGTAGACACGTGCGACGAGACCGCCACATCGTTAGAGTGGAAGGAAAGAAAACTAGGCCCGCAAGCGCTTGGAACGACGACGAAGAGAGGGCGGCTCGAGCGTAGACATGGCTGACGCGGGTCGCACATCGGCAAATCTTTGAGACACCTTTATTTTCTACCTGAGAGTCTATTGATCTTGAAAATGGTGCCTATTGATAACTAATCTACTGAATAGACATATTGATAAATTACTCAAGCATCAAGGAGAATGGAGGAAGTGGTGTCCCACGCGCCGCACATGCCGGCGTCTGCAGCAACGTCTAAAGCAAAAGCATAAAACAAAAAGCAACCTGCACGCGCGTTCGTCAACGTTTTATTTTCGTTATTTACTTCGAATATTTTATACGGTGAAGGCGGCGTGTGCGGCGGTTCGAGCGTAAAGTTTTTAGTCAGGGCACGCGAAAAATCCAGTGAACCCTAGCCATAAACAGCTACGCTGTGAAATAGATGCAGGCGTTTTTTTACTGCAAAAATTACGCATCCCCAACGCTCATTTTCTGCCCAAATGTAATGGTAACGATCCGAAGTAGACCCCAGACTGCCAGAAATAACCGTTATATTCCTTATAATGTTCAAATCTTTCCAATTGATTCTTTTAGAAAATCACAACTTTAGATTGAGTTAACGGTCCCTTCTGAATTTTTTTTATATATGGTTCGAACCCCTATCGTAATGTGTTGGTGACGTTCGGCAATGCACAATTTAGTTTTGCGGTGAAAAAAACAGCACAAAAAAGGCTGAGGAGCGGTAAGGAGCTGTTCAGGATTCGCCATGCCCTGCGCTTCTTAAACGTCAAAGACTATATGGACGGATGAATGGAGGGATGGACGAGGCGGAACCCTTTGAATCTGGCGGCAACTTACGCCACCTAGCCAGTTTTTTTTTTCTTTTTTTTTTACTTTTTTTTTATCAAGTCATATCATGATGGCATGGTCCGCGCAACGTCGCCTAGCTCGCCTTCGGCGTCACTGCAAGCATGTCCCTGACGCGGTGTCTTTGGCTCACGAGGAGCACAATGCTGAGTCTGAAGCGCGGCGACGCCAAGCTGCACGCGTCAGTCGCTTTACTTCGTACTCTCGTCGACTTCCTGCAGGAGCTCATTTGACGCCCTGATCGCCGCCAGTCACTGTTTTGCCATGACGCGCAAATAATGCGTTGCGGAAGAAGCGCGTGAGCTGACGTCACAAAACTCATCGCGGCTAATGCTTTCCGTCGTTGGTCTAATATGTGATTCCACGCCGTATCTGATACGTGGTGGTGATTATTTAGCGCATTCTCACAGGGTGACCAGGAAAAACGCGCATCACTTTTTAGAGCCTCCTAGCAAGAATGATTTACGTATTCGTAAATCGTAAATCATTTAAATGTTATTAATACACCAACACGAATCTCTGAGAGGTATGAAACATTAATAGACCTATTTATAACAAACTTTGATTTATCTGTCGTAATACCTGGTGCAGCCATTTGTAATATCAGTGATCATCTTGCCACAATTGTATGCATTCATAAATGCGTGTCAAAACAAGCACCGCAAAAGGGAGCTAGGTTTCAGCTTATAACGACTGATCGCTCAGACAGATTTTATGCTGAGTTAAACAACACTGACTGGAGTAAAGTAACCAGTGAAACAAGCCCAGAGAAAGCTTTTGATATATTCATCAATAAATTTAGACCACTGTACGAAAAACATTTTTCTTACAAATCTATTAGAGGCAACAAAAAATCTCGAAAACCTTGGATAACCCCAGAGTTGCTTGGAAAATTTAGAATAAAAAATTCCCTTTATAAGAAATTTGTAAAGAAAAGGAACCCAGATAAGATAAGGATTATTAAATAATATAAAAGCAACCCGAATAAAGAGATGAGGAATGCTAGAAAATGCTATAACTTTAATTTTATTAATACGGGGACGGACCGTACAGATAGAATGTGAAGAAAGCTTAATTCGGTACTAAATCCACAGCGTTCGACTAACGCCATTGAGAAACTCTATGTGAACGGAATGCAGCTATCTGGTCGAACTCTCTTGCAAACGCTTTCAAACATTTTTTTTGTTAACTTAGTGGATAATCGCCACGACACCCATATCTATATATACATTGCAAATAAAAATGAAAACACAGTCTACCTGAATCCGGTTACCCAGGCCGAAGTAATATCCGTATTTCTAAAGCAAACAACAGCAGCAGCTGTGATAATGAAGCAATTCAAATGAGGCCAGTTACGCATGTTATTGAAGTAATTAGCCTTTGCCTAGTTCATATCTTTAACCTTTGTTTAGAAACTGCAATTTTTCCCCCGAGGATGCAGATTGCTAAAGTGAGTTTTATATAAAAAAGGCAACAAAAACGAGCTCGGAAATTATAGACCGATTTCGATACTTTCAGTGTTTTCAAAGGGCCTTGAAAGCATTCTGCACGATCGTCTTGTAAGCTTTTCAGAAAAATATGACATTTTAACTGCATCGCAATATGGATTCCAAAAAAAAAAACAACGTCCCATGGAGTTAGCTTTACTCGACCAAAAAGAGTTTATACTGGACAACTATGAAAAGAAAAATATTGCCTTCGGTGTTTATGTAGATTTTACAAAAGCATTCGATTACCTAAACAATAAACTACTCTTTCAAAAGCTCGAGACATATGGTATTATAGGACAGGCTTTAACATTACTAAAGAGCTATTCTTGCCACCGGAAGCAGTGCGTTCACCTTAACGGTTATTCGTCAGATGTAAAGAATTTAACTTCAGGTGTGCCTCAAGGATCATTTTAGGACCGTTTTTGTTTAATATATATATATCAATGTTTTTGTCAACATAAACAAGCAGGCAAAATTTTGTATCTATGCTGACGACACCAGTGTCTTTGTATCTGCTCGGACTGTGGATGAAATAGCTAATATTTCGAATAACGTACTAGCAGAGCTAGAATCATGGGCAAACGCAAACTTGCTGAAAATCAACACAGCTAAGACAAAGGCTATTTGCATTAAACCTAAAAACAAATTTGTTGAAATTCCGACCAATATAATAATGTATTCTTCACCGATTGAGGTTGTTAGATCATTTAAAACACTAGGGGTGTATTTTTCCGAACATATGTCTTGGGACGCTCACGCTGACCACATCACATCAAAACTAAGCCGCGTGGTATGTATCGGCATCCTTATATTCTTCCATTCAGTGTTAAACTACTTCTCTACCAGCCATTATTTTGTTCCCATGTAAACTATTGTCATTTGATTTGGGGGACGTCCACATGACTGAACCTTAAAAAAATACATGTCTTGCAAAAAAATTAAAAAAGCTCTAAGAATAATTTTCAACGTCGGCTATGACTTTCACACAGAACCCCTTTTTCACAATTTGAATGTCATAAAAATCTTCACACTCTACAACTTTCAGTTATGCATGAAATATAAAATAGAATGCAGTAAAAATAGAGACTGTTTCATTTCTCTCGCGTCACTGAAGGAAAAAAGCTCAATTTATCCAACTCGTAGTTCTGAACCTTTGTTCATTAAAAACTCCCGCTCCAACTATGGTCGTCAGAGAATCAAAATAACTCTCCCGAAGTTGCTAAATATGCTAAACCTAAAGCACATAGACATAACTACTCTTTCACCCAAAGAATTACGGTCTTATTTTTAGTGTTGCGAGTGATATGGTTACACTAGAGTTGCATTTGTATTGTGCTTGCTTTGTTACTTGTTTTCGGTTTTTAAATCCGCTGTTCTCTGCATTAGCTTTTTATTGTATAACTTTTTATCCTTTTTTCTTCCTTTCCTTTAATATGTATATCCTGTGTGTGAATTCGCATTGCCGCTGCTGCTGAAACTTTTGCGGTGCTGGGAACTCGTCAAGCTGTCCATGCAGCTTTTTTTCCCAGCCCTCGCCTTTGTAAAAAAAATGGTAAATAAACGTTGAATTGAATATGTGCGTGTTTAAGTCCGGCGTACTTTTTTGTTCTTGAAAAAATTTGTTTGTTCTGATGTTTTTAATTTTTATGTTTTTTAGAATGTCAAAGTTATGTGCTGGAGTTTTGCCGTCGTCAACGTCTTCCTCAATGTGAAATTGTTTGATTTCTCGAGATTTCTCGCCAAAGCGTGTCTGAATCTATTACGCGTTTCCACGAGCTCGGTCACGAAGGCACCACCCCAGATGAGGAAGAAAGCGCATTGTCAACACCTCTGGCAACTGTCAGATACTTCGGAATCGAGCCCAGCGAAATCCGGGGGTCTCCGTGAAAAACGTCGCTTGTGAGACCAGAATCAATCGTGAATCGGTGCGACAAATGGCTAAAAGCAAGCTGAAACAAGTCCCACAAGCCTAAAACAATTTCAACTACTCACGGACGAAAACAAGCGAGTCCGGCTTCAAAGGTGCCGCTAACTTCAACTCCGGGCCGCAGGTACGCGCTGGGAAACGTGCCCTCTTCACGGTAGACAAGATTTTACGAACTTCAAAACCGATGGATTATAGCCTATGAGCAGTTTTGAAGGCCAGGGCGCGCGCTAGTCGCCCCAAAAGTTTGGAGTCGCTGAAGCAATCGTTTCACCGGGAGTAAGGCTGAGTCACTCTGTAGGAGCTGCGGTCCATCGTCGAAAGTTCAAGAAGAGCCATGGGGCTCTGCATCGACGCCGACGGCGGACACTTCGAAACCTGCCGAGAATCTGATTACTAAGGTACCAATTATATTGTTGTTAATAGATAATTCTTTAAACTTTTCTTAATCTAATTTCTTTTTTTTTTAAATATAAAAAAAATTCCGAGTTATTTCTGGTCCCCTTGTAATATACACCGATCTCACCAAGACTTGGACGCATACGAAAAGACGCCATTACTTTAGTTCGGAGGAGGCAGGTGGTATATACTGCCCGAGACATGTCTGCACGCGCGGAACTCGTAAGTGCTTGTAGAACGGGTAGACAGACTGAACTTTCCTCCATGCATCGCAGCAGCCTCGGCGCGTAGCGAAACTGACCGTTGAGATTGTTCTTTTTATACGGACTATAACCAATACCTCCTACAAGGCAATTCATGCGCCTCCGCCTCCACCCCCCCCCCCCCCTTCCCACAAACACACACTCACAGACATCAGTAGTGGATCAACGCAGCGCCGCCTATAGCCTGCGTCAGCATCGCGGCTAACGTGTCTTGCAGTGTCTGATAAGGACCGCAACGCTAGCTTACGGCGACACCAAGACGGACGTGTCCGTCTCTTTATAGAGACTCTCGTCAAGCTTCGGCGTTTTGCCGCTTGGCGCAGGTCGGGGATCTACAAACGATGACGTCATGCGCAGTCCTTATATTTATGGGTTGTACTTGAAAAATAGAAATAAGAAAATTAAAACTACAAGAGGGTGTGAAATACGAGCTTTGGTTCGAGGAACTTGGTTATAGAATCAATTTTGCACAGATCGTGCCCTACTTCATTTCAGCTCACGAACCTTGACGGTGATTTCGGGTGTCATGGCGGCCATGGTCATGAGGCAGACCTGGACCTCGGGAAGCTTGCTTTTGACGATCGCGGCTAACTGAGCGTCGGTGATTTTCTCTTCAATGAGCTTCTCCACCATCGCCATCACTGGATTTCCTAATTTGGCAAAAAAAAAAAAATAACACTTCATTATTTGTCTATATAAAGAAGGCGCACTACAGCCGCCGTCGCTCCGCTCGTATATACATCGTACAAAAGACACGGTGTTTGCCTGCAGACACAATGACATAGAATTATGTACGGCGGCGCCATAATCACATGTTTCAAGCATATTTCCTTTATACACACGTATGCTTCGGCGACTTGCGCAGACAGTTTTTGCATGACCAAAGTTATAAGACCGTCACCCAAGAAAGGATAAATGGATGGATGTTAATGGCTATACCCTTTGTACCGGGTGGTAGCTTACGTCACCTAACCTATGTCTAAAAAGACAAACATATAATTCCTCCCCCATTCTATGCCAATTTTCTCCCCCTAACTAACACGCCTCACACAATGTGTGCAGACTGTCTTTTGAGTAATGTATTAGCAGTGTGGTCTGTCGTCACCAGCTAAACACTTTTCGCTTCATTTCTTCCTTCCTACTTTTCCTTGTGCCTTTTACTTTGTTCAGGAAGGATCGTAATCCTACCACCCATTTTAAAACCTGCTACTCAAAGCCTGAACATCTATGACGCTCAAACTTGACTCGTAAGCTCCCAATGCTGCTGCTTGCACCTTCGGTAAATAACGGCATTGTTTCATTTTTGTAAAGTAAGCGGCATGTATTTACCTCTTGGTGGCCCTATTACGAAACAGCTCTAGTGGGTCACTCATCACTGGCTGGCTTTGTGGCAAAGTATCGGTGAAACCGATACATATAAGCTCTTATGTTCGATCGTTTGTGCTCTTATTATCGGTCGTAGCATCAAAACCCATTGTCGATACCTTCAGTACCTCAGTACGGCGTGGTCGAGACATCAAGCAGTTGCCTACGCTGGAAACGGTTATTTTCCTCGTATCTGAAACACGTTTTCGTACTTTCCTGTCGCACTGGTAGCGTTTTAACGATTCCAGAGCACGCGGAAAAGATAGCAAACAGGACAATGAGTTGGAAACTTCACTCAGTGAGGCGCTAGCTACTGCAACGAAAACAACAAATAAATATAAAAAAGTCTGAAGGTAAATTAGTGTTTGAACTACGAATATACAAAAGTATGCTCCCAAGAGGATTTAAACTGAGAGATTCACGATGTTGCTACCAAAAAAAGGACCTGACATATCTGTCGTTCACCATCACTGACAGTATTTGGAGGCGTTAATATGTATGAACGTCTGTGTAGTCTATGTAAGTCTAAGTTGCAGCGATTCTTCTTTAATTTTTGTTCAGCGCGATGCTCTGCCAAAATACCTTTACGTTCCACTTCTTAAGTCTTCCAAGGCAATTTTTTTTTTTTCAAAGTTTGCAGCCAGTTGCTCTTTTTTTCTGCGAGCGGAATTGCAGTCTCGTGATCGAGGCGATGCGTTTCCGGCACCTATAGTTTGGCGATCGTGTATGCTCGACCAATCGGAGGTATAAACGGTTCCCTAAACTCTCTATTAAATTCTGCCTTGGACCTAGACAGTTATTGGATTCTGTTTACAAATTATATTTGGTTTCACCACGAGTCAAAAAAGAACACAAGTGACACAGAAACATAGGCGTTGTCATAAAAAAGGGCGAGATCACGGCGCACTTGTTGCGCTTCAGTGGACGGGATGCTGGTGGCACACGAGCAAAAGCACTACGAACTCTGTGACGTCGCGCTTGACACGCTGCATGACTGGCGATCTCAGGTCGTTGCTTCAGCAGCGCTTTCACATAAGCGTGAAGCGAAGTTTAAATTTGATTTCCTCTCGCTTTCCTCTGTATGTAGGGCTGATTGCTCATGGTATTGAATTGTCTCCTCCAAGTTTCCTGTTTTTCTTCACCTGATCGTTCTGATAAAATGCTTTAAAGACACTCCTAACAATACTCCCCCACCGGGGATTTCCGAAAATCCGCATTTTACGAGTGTTATTGAGGTCCATTAAAATAAACATGCCAATAACAAGTTGAAAAACTCAATTTGAGAACACGAAATCAAGCACCAGATGAAAGTCTCGTTAATAATTTTTGTACGACGACAATCTCAAAGATGGCATGAAAGTCCAATATAAAAAAACCCGCATAATTCAAGTAAAAAAAAAAGAGATACTTGCACGGAATCAAGTTTGGGGTGAAGCGATGTAGCGAGAGACGAGACGAGCCGCGGCGACAGCGACGAGAATCAGTGTCGCTCATCGCGTTCCTCGGTGTTTGAATTTCTGGAAAACGTCGCTCATCGCCTTGGTCGCTTTTTCCCGTCGCTTTCATGCGGTTTGCTTCATCGCGCGACTGACCGAGCGACAGCCAATCGGGTCGCCGTCGCTTGTCTCGTCGCCCACCAGATCGCTTGCGTGCGGTTTACACTTTAGAATGGGTTCTTACAACTCTGATGTTCAACAAGCATGCTGGTGACACCATAGCATCCAAGCAGCACCAACCAGAACTTACCTTCAGCAAGCCTCAGTGAGCCGAGGGCGACTAGAAGGGTGAAGCAGATAGAGAGCTTAGAACGCATGATCGGGTTCGCTCGAGCAGCGAGACAATCCAAATTTTATCGTGTCCGCACAGAAAGAACCGCGCGCTTTTTATGGGTTGAGAAAGTTTCCCATGGTCGATGGTGCGGAGAAGAAAAATGTTTGTCAAAAGCGGCATCCCTCATGTAAAGGGAAAACAATACATGAGTTTGACGTGCTTCCCTCAGAAAGACATCTAGTGTCCTTGAAATGAACACGTAGCCACGTGGCTTGTCGACGATGTATTCCATTGGGGGTCATTAAATGGTCACGGACGACTGCGAACATCGATTCAGAATATGTAAGAGCTTTGCAGATTGATATCTCGTGGTTAAGAAGGCACTGAGGGATACGGAAAAACTTCATTCGAGCTGTCGCCGAGCGGAACACGAAAAAGGTACAAAGTAAGAAATACCCATCTACTGGTCGCTCGAACGACTGTGCCTTTATATACGGTCATAGAAGAGCTGCAGGGGCTATATTGGCGTCTGCAACGTTGGTGCTCTTTCGCTTCCTAGCTGATTCTGTCACTGTACCTTTCGTGCAACCAAACTCCTTGTTTTTCTTGGTATTGTAACAAAATACTTTTGTTGGCTTGTTTAGCCAACGGGAAGTTATTCAGTCCATAGTGTTACATTACAATGTACGCTAAAAGTTCAACTGTCGCTAGTGTCTATGCTACTTCCGGGAGGCAACTTGAAGCAGACAGCAACCATGGTCTACTTCTGCGGTGCTCCTGTACATTCCTAAGGGAAAACACGCGTGCATTTTTCCTCTTTGCCAGAAAATAACATGAATAACTTTTGTTATTTGGTTCGTACGGAATGGTGTTTACCTTTATTAATATTGTAAAAGTGCAATTGCTTTAGTTATTGTACTTATTTTTATCAGTAAACGATGCTAAACTGGGCTGTATCTCAGACCCAGACCTCTGTTCCACAGCAGGTATCTAAAAACGAGGGACGATTGTAAGCAAAATAACAGTCGAAAGGAGTGTAGATTGTGTTCAAGGTTAGCCAGCATTCCCGGTGGGGCTTACGTATTGCTTACATGCCCGTCCTGTCACTATACGAAAATTACCCCGTCGGGCATCTCCTCCTGAGGTTAAAAATCATTTGAAACGTAGTGAATAAAATATGTGTGCTATAAAAGGTGTGTCTTTTTATTATTTCCTACATCGGGTAGCTTTTAACCGGCAGCTGTTCTTAGGCTTCTCCCTATCCTCAAAGAGTTCGAGCGTGCGGGTTATGTTTTAAACGAAGAACAAGCATCTGCGCACATATTCATGTGCAGAAAGTAAAAAAAAAAAAACAGGGCATATTTTTTGCAAATCTGAATATATTACGTGGCCTTCAATGCATTTTGATGGACTGCATATGCATGAGGAGCTACTGGTGCAGTTTTACTGCGTAGTTCTTGCCGTTTTTCTTGTTTTACTATATGTTCTTCGTTCGTTTGACACGCATATCTCCCATGCTGGAAAATGCCGACGCCGTGTTCGTGCTAACAGTGTCCGACAGTGCACATACGAAGTCGCTTTAGCACCGTTTTCAGTGCCATGCATTTGAAATAAAGAAAGCCATAACTGATCAAATATATCGTCTGCGTGACTGAGAAATGATCCAATTTCTGTTCTTTCAATCAAGTACAGAGAGAAAATGTACTCGTCTTCCCCCTTAAAAATACATTACCGGAAGTCAATTTCCGACTGGTTGCTCTCTGCTTCAACTTGCAACCACACAGCAGCCTTATTTGAGCCTCTAGCGTAGATTATAACTCTATGATTCAGCTCAATTGGGCATTTGGCGCCTTCGCTGCACATGAGAAATTTAGTCGCTCTAAGTTGGACACTCTGAGAGGAAATCGGTGAGATTGCCGATTTCGTTGCCACTGTTCAGAGCGGCGTTGCGATTGGCCACGGTGCAATTGGCCAGTGCCAAGGTCAAGTGGGGCACTAGCCAATTGCTTTAGTTGGCAATCTCACCGACCGACGGAATTGTTCCAATTATGTGGTAGTATAGATCTATATTCTATTAAACTTCGGGGTAAGTCATGAGAATGGCTTCGCACGGACGTCTACACGCATTTTTCATCTGTTGCTTGATTGCGTAATAGCTAACTTAGAGCACCAGTACGACTGCTAGCCTGTGGGCAAGGCGCCGCCTAAAACGTCTACGAAGAACGGCATCGGTGGATCAAAATTTTCCAGATGGGAATATGAGAACAAGTCTAGGTTTTCCTCAACTAAAACCGACATTTTGAGCACTCCTTTTTTTATATGCAGCATTCAGGGGCAAAAAAAAAAAGTATATAAAAAGATAGTAATTTTTTTTTTTTTTTTTTTTTTTACTCTTTAAGCTCTTGTATATAATAGATTTTGTGTATTCTGCTTTTTGGGCATAAAGGTTGGTTCAGACACTTGCCTAAGTTCGACCGAGCGAGACTGCAACGGCTTGCGACGTTAATCAATTAGCGGGTTGCTATGGAAACAGTTGCGTCGGCTCCAACAAAACGGGGTAAAACCGGTTTTGTTTGAGCGGACGCAGCTGTCGCCTTAGCAATCCGTATGTCACAAGCCGTTTGCAGTTGCAGTCGGTCGGACTCGACGCGATTGGTGTGTGAATCGCCCTTAAGCAAGCGTTACAGATAAGCCGTAGATTTACCGGTGTTTATTTCGAAAGAAATCTGCCGATGTTTTTCGGTGTGTATGCATTGTTATGATATCAACGGGTTTTGATAATCTGCTTCGGACGAACGGTAAAACGGTAATAATTGAAAAAAAAAAGCATAACTCACGAGAAAACAAAAATTTCAGGTCCCGGGTTCGAAACTCGAACCCAGTGGACTTTTTCGGTCGCGCACCAGTCACCTAGCTGTCTATGGAGATTTGTGTATGTCCTTTGTCCGTCTTGGTCACCTCCTCCAGGAAGTATTTTCGCCTACCTTGTCCACTGGTTTTTCGATATCTGTGCTTCTCTGCAAGGTAGCGTGTGCGCTTTTGGTATGCCACAGCACCCGTCCGGGCGCTGTGGGATACCTGATATAAATAAAGTGTGTGTGTGTGTGCACATTATCTTGTGTGAGATTTGTTTGTTGTTTTGTTTCCCAAGATAATAGCCAGAAACTATCGCGAGTTCACATATTTTATTGCAAGCAGCAAATTTCGCGGTCTCCATGTGGCTTACGAAGACGGAGAGGACGTCGAAAGCCGACGTTAAGGGTCGTCGAAGAGAAAGTGACGACGTCTTCGAAGAAATGTCAGACGAGGGGTCCCAGTGAGGCATTCTGGTTGGGTGAGCAGGGCATCCGGAACACGTTACTGTAGCTCCCAAACCACTTGTTTGCGACTGCACAACAAAATGGAACGCAGACTTTACGAAGAGTGAAAGCAACCCAGCGCGTGACGGTATACCTATTTCCTAGTTCGATGCACGGAAATTTCGCTAAAATATATTGGGATCATTTCTGTTTTGCGCTTAAACGTACCTTGCTCCATTTTAGCACAGCACGCGTTATCTAACCAAACAAAAAAAATCCAAGATAAATAGAATCATCATTGCATCACTCATGAAAAAGTTATAAGGTTACGACTCTTAATGATATGCTTGGGAGAAGAGCGTGTTGGTTTAAGCCATGGATGAAGAAAGAATAAAACAATTAAATCAGGGACAACACAACTACATCTTTCATTGAAAGATGTGGTTGTGTTGTCCCTGTTTTAATTGTTTTATTTTTTCTTCATCCATGACTCTTAATGATTACCATAGTTATACGGAACTCACTAAAAGTAATCACTTGTAATCGATTAATTTTGTGAAGTAATTTTGGCATCATTTGAGTACATGTAAAAATAAGTAATCCCAAGAGTAATTTTATTACTTTGGGCCATACTAAAATTCCTTGTAACCACTAGTATTTTTTGCTCCCCCTTTATTTCGCGCCATTTTGTTTGTACAAGTTTTCTACAAAGGAATCCTCAAACAAAGTCTACTCGAGGAAGATGGTTTGCCAAAATGAGAAGCATAAGAAGAGAAATAGTTTATAAATCTATGATCTTAATCCAAGAATGGAGAGTACAAAAGGCCCGTTTTTAAACTGGCAAAAAAGTCTCGTTTTGAAAACATGGATCGGAGATGTAACAGCCACTTCTCAAGTAACGGCCGATCACTTTTCTTTTCAACTCTAATCAAGTAATTTATCTCAATATTTTTAAACAAGAGTGATTGAAATTGTAGTCGATTACTTCTTAGAGTCACGCGTGCAAGACACACAAAAGTACTAAACTAATAGACCGATCTCACCGGCCAGTTTGACTACGCCACCGCTGCCGCAATGCATCGAGGGAACTTTAGTCTTTGGGCACGCGCGACAACCTCGCTCGAGCTCTTCGCGTGTAGAGCACGAGAAGGCACGAGCCCTCGCGTGCGCGGCCGTCTGGCTCCTGTGAACTAAAGCTATGGCGGCTTTACGCATGCGCCCAACGCTTAGTGAGATCGGTCTATTACTGTCGAATAAGTTTTTTTTTTTATGTTTATAGCTTAAATCAGGCTATCATTATTTAGATTCTGAACAAAATCAAGCATAAGTTCAACGTATTACCCACCGAGCATACAACACGATAGGTCGTCTGCTCGGTGCGCCTATGGCGAGATGGCGCCAAAAGTTACATTCGACACCAACGAGCTCAACTATACTCCACCTCAGGAGTTGTGTGCAGCAAAGGCAAAGGCATTGGCGCGGGCACGTGGCTTTCAGATGTGCTTTCTTTTCGCGAGTGCTCGTGAAAGGAAAGCAAATATGAAAACGAGGCCCTCGCGCCTGTGCTTTTGCCTCTGCTGCACGCAACTCATGAGATGCAGTATACAGCCTGTTACTAAGTTACATTCATCACTATTTCGGTCGTCTGCGAGCATGCTCGCCTTGACTTCAGCAATTTCGTTGACATAATTTTTTTTACAACCGCCCCCTATAATTAAAAAATACAATCAATAAAAAATAAAAAGGAGATTATTTGTATTGCAATACCAATCTACGCATTACTAAAGGTTTATTCCCCATCCAAGCCAAGCCCAAGTGATCCAAACCACTTTTTTTTTTCAATGGGATACTGGCGGCTGGTGGACGTCTTATAATTAGGGGTGTGCGAATATTGAAATTTTCGAATACCAATCGAAAACGAATAAGACAAAAAACGGGCTTCGCATGTCGAATCGAGTATCGAATATATGTTTAGTATATAAAAATTGCAAAACAAGAGTTAACAGCAGGTTTTATTGTCTTTTTTAAATTAAATCAATGCAACTGCCATTTACTGGGCTGCAGCAGGCTAAAGATGTAATGCACTTATTACAAATTATCGTGTAGGAAAATTAACTGCTCAACGTGTTATAAAAGTAAGCGCTCCTATACGCGCCGTGTCAACATTTCCGCCAGTAAAAAAGACCCTTTCACTCGGGAAACCTGCAAACTTTCACTAGAGTTTGAAGGAGTTCGACTTATGGACAGTGTTGCCCAGCTGCTAGACGAATATTTCAAAATTCGGGAAACAAATAACTTGGAAAGTACTCTATTCTATATTTCATAAAATGGTTAGTGTTTACACCATATAAAGGCGAAAATAGGCGCTTTTAACGCTTTCATTAGTTACTAAAGGGGTCATGAAACGATTTTCCTACTTCTTCCTCCTTAGCTTTAATCCTCAACTTAAATACGAATTGTGAAATCACGTGGTCGTGACATTCCTTCGGCACCTCTGCGATGACTCCTAGGTTCCACCGTGCTTTTTATGTACACCATAGAACTTGTCATTCCACTGTGACAATAAGTTCCGTCAGGGCATTCACTAGCCACGAACGCGAATCCATATATTCGTTGACGGATTGATTGTTGACGAGCGCATACGTCCGAGTGACGCAGTTCTCGTGTCCAATGCGTGAGCTGGGCTCTGCTGACGTCAGTTTGGCGCCGGTGACGCGCTTTTGGAACCGCGGATGTATCATAGTGAAATGGCGGAGAGCTTTCAAAGGAAAGAAGGTACAAAGTAGTCCGCTATATTTTCAAATGTTCGTACCGAAAAGAGGGCTTTTGACTTTCTAGCCTCTTTCTTTAGGCCAACTAAACGATATGCGATTAGTAAAGTCCCAATTTAAAATCATTCATACCAACCCAAAATTCGTTTCATGGCCCCTTTAATGTGAACAAGGGATACCAATAAACCTACATATATATATATATATATTTGTTTTTTTTTTTTTTTGGTCATGCGCACAAAAGTCGAACTTCACTCCAACCTTTGTCAAACATCACTTTCAAAGTTCGAAAAAGTCGAGCTTGGCCGGCTCGAACCTGGGCAGCTTTGCGACATTCCTAGTTTTGACTAAGGGTGCCGCGAACTTTTGTCGAACCGGATTCTTAGGTCGAACTTTCGGGGTTCGACTGGGTCGAACCGGTCGACAAACCTTCGAACGTTTCACCAGATTCGACCGGTTCGACTTTGTGGACAGTGTGGCCAGACCTTGATACAAGCATGTCTAGGTTTGGAGACATTTTTTTATGCAAAGGGTTATTTTATTTTATGAACAGTTGGAATTAAAAGAACGCAATTCTAATCACGGAAGAAGTTAATAACTTAATTTTTTGTACTGTATTAACTGAAATAACCAATCAGCGCTGCCCTTTAGAAATCCCCTAGCCATCACCATCCAATCCGAAGCCAACTGGCCAGCCTGTCGCGCAGGCGCACACGAGTCGAGCTTCAATACAAGGTTTGTCGACCTTTCCACTAAAAGTTTGAAAAAGTCGAATCTGGTCGAACTCGAACCTCGGCCGGTTCGCGACACCTCTAGCTTTGACTGCGCTGGACTGGCAGGAGTTGTCGATGGCGATGCAATGTTCTGCTCGCACCTAGCTTTTTCTTCTTTTTTTTTTAATTTTCAATCGTTTATATTAGATAACACCTTTGAGATTTTTTTTTATATTTATATTTCACTCTCGAGGCTTATTGTATTGTATCAATTTATAGAGCGCGCAATTACATCACATATTGCTATAAAAATGCCACACAACAAAGGGCTTGGTGAAAAAGAAACCGAAACTGATCCTGTCTTGCTGCCATCGGACAGATAGAAACGGAGCAGACCGGTAACGCACGCATGATGCGCCTTTCTCAGTGAATAGACATATTCAAAGGGTAATGCATGGCGGGCAGATTATGCGTTACTTGCTCGAAGATTCGCAGTTTGTGCGGATATTCGCTGTTTTTCCCGAATATTCAGCTTTGGCCGAATATTCGGGACCTTCCGAATATGCAATTTTCGAATCGGATACGTTTCGAATAAGGAAAACATTTTATTCGTATTCGAAATTTCGATTATTCGCACACCCCTACTTATAATATTTGCCGCTGAATGGCGCCAGTTACCGAGAATGGATAAAACGGGGCCAATTTTCCTATTTAAATTTTCAGAAAATCACCTATAACTTTTATTAAGATAACGATCAGATTTTAAACTTTGTTATCAGGTTCGGACCACTCGGGACACATTTGGCCGGAGAATTAGCGTTAAACAATTCGTAGTTTATTGTTGGAGTAAAAAACACAGCGTAATTTTATTTATTTTTTAATGCGAAAGCATTAACTGTTTTATGGAGCGAGCTGTCGTCATCAGTTTGAACCGCGAAAACGGCTCCTAGTTTCCGCGATCACCTTCGGTTCCGTTGGCTGGCGCGCGGCGACGGGGCCCCCTTTGGCCGCTGCGCCATGGCCTCCGAGATCCCGAAGCCCGCGCGCGCTAGTACGCAGCAGACGACAAAAGGAGCGGACGAGCGGATTGCATGCTTTCGCAAAAATGCTTAGGTGTATCTCTAGCTCTTTTTGTTGTGGAACACGTAGGCTTTATGTATTTGTGCGAGGCACCCAAAGGGTTGAGAATAGCGGCATTGTGTTTTAGTTTTGGTTAACCCGTTTGTAACTCACTCCACTTGGATCCGTATAGGACAGGACAGCCGGCATGCAAGGTGAGTGGATCTCCTTCCCAGCTGGACTTGATGTTCCACCAGAACAGTGCGACTCCCTGCGAGGTGGAACGTCGTGTTAAGTCCTCTTGCCGAGCAGTTGAGCAATGGCTTGTTCACACATTTGCGTTTAAGCGTGACATGCTGTGTCGTAAGAATGCCACCTAGAAGACAAGGACGCCTTTCTCTTCAAACGTCATCACTACTGGATGCACGCAGCGCCGCCTATAGCTGGCCTCACCGTCACCTCCAGCGCGTCTCACAGCGTCTTAACGAGGGCGATGCTAGCAGACGGCGACGCCAAGACGGACGCGTCTGCCGCTTTACGGTGTCTCTTGTAGGGCTTCGGCGTGTTTGCAGCTTGGGCCGGTTGGAGGGGATCCACTAAATATTACGTCATGCAGAGGTTTTGTCTTCTAGGTGCAACGTTAGAGATTACCTCAGTTGTGGAACTCCCGCAGTAGGGGGGGTACCCCCGCCTCACTTCAGTCAACCTCCCGTCGTTTGAAGCGCCATCTAGGTTTTCGTTTCATAAATGTGCGTTCCATAGAGTACGGTGGAACGCCATCTAAACGCTGTGCTTTGAAACGTGCGTGTTCCATAGAATACGCTGCAGCTACCATAGCAGCCGTGTGGCACGTAGAACGACGGGAGGCGAGTCGTGGTGATGGAGAGTGGGATACTGTTCGTGGAAGCAGCGTCTGGGAGCAGTTCCATAACTGAGCTAATCTACTAACCTTGTCTAGGTGCTATTGGCCCTTCTCGCGGCGTCTGTACACGTCACCTTGTTTTCCGAACACGCCGGTTTTCTTTGGCATCACAGACAGGAGGGAGGTAAAGCTTAGCCCATAATGCTAAATGGGCCTCGTTGTACAGGCCACGGACGAAGCGCGTTGTTCCGTACACGCGTGGGCTCTCCCAACGTTTTCATGCCCCGACAGACTACAGACGCGACAAGAATATTTTCGTGTTCCACCATGAGCACTGAAAAGCTAAGAGACGCAGGGCATGACAACATCCGAGCACCTTATGGACGCTTAGAAAGCAACGCTCTACGTTTCTTGACTTATCAGTCACTCTACGGCACAATTCGCTTGAGTAACTCTGCCTCTAGGCCGCGCAACTAGCGCGAAAGAACTTTAATTTGCACTGGGTCGGGGATCATCGCGGTTTACATGGGTCCCATGAACAAGCTAGTACAACTTATACTAAGTCTTTTTTTTTTATTAAGCCATTATTGATCTTTTAGAATTCGCTGGGTCTGCACTCTTCGTTCGCAGAGACTCGTTGTTGTCGTACTCCGCAGGAGCGTAAATGTGCGTGAATTATTAGAACAATCAATTGCTCAAAAGTGAAAAAAAAAAAAAAAATCAAGAAAGTAAGAAGGAACTGTTCACCTTTTTGGGGCTCACCCTTACTCCGAGGTGTGGAAAGACAGTGGCTCCACCCTCTTCGACGTCACTCATCTGTAACCAATCGGAGCAAAATTTCGTCGTGTGTCAAAGAAATTGATAAGGGTCGCAATATTTTACCATATATCTGCATTATCTTAACAGATTGCTCGACATGATTCATTACTTTTTGCCGTTTAATCGCGGATAAGACAAACTTTTCCGTTGAGTTGACGGAATTTCTCGGCCGCCCTTGCTCAATCCGGCAACCGTCAAGTGGAAGCCGTAAGCCGCGGTGACACTGCAAATTCATCTTACAGTGTCTGCAGACAGCCTGCGGACACTCTCTGAGGCATGCTTCGTCTTTGTATGACAGTCTTGTCCCGCTGGTTGTACAAGAACCTTCCGCAGACATTTTCGAAGCATGCATATGTATGGTGCAAACGTGCATCGAGCACGCTTCAGGCATGGCCGCAGATAGTTCTCTCAACATGTTTACGGAATACACCGTGTATTTTCTATGACGAATGAGCACTGTGACTCAAGGTTTTAGAGCTTTCAGTCTAAATGTATCGAACCTCTGTCTGTTCGTAATGAGACAAGAAGGTTACGGTCATGGCGAGGGGTGTGGTGAGGAGTGTGGTGAGGGATGAATTTCTTATCGAATAGTTGTTTAATGATCAAAGTGGGCATGCATATCACTGGTGCAGTGCGTCGATATGATCTTTTGTTTTCATTGTTTCATTACGGCAGTAGCTTTGCGTGAAATTATTTGTGGCGTAACTGAAGGGCTACGGTATTAGTGGGATCAGAAAATAATATTGGATTTGTAAATTATTCAATGGAAACTCAAGAGTAGATGCAAGAATAGTACTTACATATACTTACAAGCAGCCACCCATCAAAAGGCTCGTCTGGCCAGCGTAGATAGAAATAACTTTGTTTGGCAGCCAGTCTGGCAACAGTGGGCACGCCCTAACGAGGCTTCTCTATGATTGCGGTGCCTGGATTGCGCTTCCGAGTGGTGTGCGTTTATAGCGTTCTTAAAGAGGGTTCCAGAATTTCCACCCTTTGACATCATAAAGGCCGGTTCACACATACAGCGGAGCGTGCAGTCAGCGCTTTATGAGCGCTGGAAGCAGCGCTCATGTGGGGCCGATTTGCGCGTGACGTAGCGCTCGGTTAGCGCTCTAAAAGCGCTCCAGTAGGCGCTCAGTTAGCGCTCCAGGAGCACTTCAGTAGGCGCTAGGTTAGCGCTTCAACAGCGCAGTGTAAGCGCTCTCACGCTCCTTGTGCCGTGATTACTGTTGTGGAACAGCGCGTGCACGGCTATTCCGTTGTTGATATTCTTTTGGCATTGAAAAACGAGGAAGTAGAAGAGCCGCTCTCCAAGCAAAGGGTCGGGTGAGACGATCCAGAGTCATGGACTCTGAGCGACTAATTGACTGGGTACAATCTCATTGCTTTCTATTGGATATGCGTGACCGTGGTTTCAAAGACACGCAGTTAAAAAATAATCGCCTTCGAAAGAGCTTTGTGCCTCGGTCCCTCAGCCTGGGAACGAGGTTCGCCGGATACCCGTCGGTATCTCGGTGGCGAAAGATTTCGCGCACCCAGAGGGCCCTTCTGGGCGTTAAGTCGCCCACACATATATGTCCTAATTGCGTATGTAATACCCTGGTCATACGGGCGCTTCGAACTGTCGTCGAGTTCAATCACATTTATCGGCGCCAACTGTGATTGAACTGAACTGAACTGAGATGGTGCTACACTGCTTTCTAGAACCCAGTTGAAGCCAAAACGAAACTAGTTCTTGTGCCACGTAATCAGTCTAATTGTTAAAATAATTTACTCGGAGACGCATATTTTATTGATTATAAGTATATCGTACAATATGCTCAATACCTTGCTGCTTTTTAGCGGCGTTTACACGACTACCAAACCTGATTCAGGGCTACCGCCCGCAACGATGGGTGCACCAATTACTATTGGTTCATTTATACAGCCGGTCCCGCCGCCATGTTCGCTCGTCTGGTGGCTTGCCGCCTAGCCGGGATTGTTTAAGCGGCAGCTCGAACGCCTAAACCTATTCCTTCCCGAATATTTTGCTGCTTTATTCTTTCTTGACGCCTCCCCCTGCATTCCGAAACAGTAAGTGCCTCGCAAACGATGGTCGGCGGCAGCGGTCGCGCGGACAAGCGCCATTTTACCTCAGTTGGGAACACGTGGTTGGGGAAGTCCGTTCAGTTGAACTGAGGTAGGGGAGCTCAGTTGAACTCAACTGTCATTTTGCGGTTCGATGACAGTTGGCGCCGCCGTGTAACTCCGGTCGATCGCGATTGAGTCAACTGTCGTTGACTCAACTGCAGTTGAGAGCGCTCGTGTAATTAGGGTATACAAACATTTGTCCCGTTTCAATAGTATTGTTGATGCACACCCAACCACAGGAACCGGAACAGCAGTGCACGCTCTAATCCGCAGCAATAACCGCCGCACAAGAAGCGCTAACAAGGCGCTACTAGAGCGCTAACAGGGCGCTACAGAAGTGCTAACAAGGCGCTATTGGAGTGCTAACAAGGCGCTACTAAAGCGCTAACAATAGGCTAACAAGGTGCTACAAAAGCGCTAATCGCGCGCTATATTAGAGCTAAGTCACGCGCTAGGAAGCGCCACATGAGCGCCCTTTCGAGCGCTCACGTAGCGCTAACTTGGGGCTCCGCTGTATACGTGAACAGGCCTTTTAGTGTCATGCTGTTTCTCGGGGCAATCCTGGTGATGGTGCAATAGCGTTGGTAGATGTGGCAGCCCAGCCTGTTCTTCTGCAGGTCACTATTTAGCTTGAGATTCTACTGAAGTTTCGGCAGCCAGAAGTTGAGAAGCTGCGACGACAGCGAAGGTGGCGTTATCCCGCCTTTTTGTTTTTCGCCAGAACTTCTGCGACCAATGGCTAGAGCCGCCACATCCGACAGCATAACACGCCGGCTCCTTTGACGTCATACGTTGCCCCTTCCGTACCGCTTACGATGCGTGGGCAGGGTAGAAAGGTAAAAGCACAGTCGAATACGGATTCCGGGATAGACGATAGATGGATGCGTGGCTGTACCCTTTATCACGTGCGTTAGCTTGCGCCATTTAGCCAAGAAACCAAAAACGTTTATTCCTTTCCTCTCACGCCTATAAACCAATTCTCAGGCTCCGTACTTTCGCTGAGGTTGCTGACGTATTTCCGGGTTGTTGACGTGGTTGCCATGGTAACCGGAACAGCCTAACTAAAACAATGCACAAGCACAACGCGTGCCCGTGTGTTGCCTATACAACAGCTAGCGCATGGCTTTGATAAACATCGCAGGATTAAAGCCACTCTGAATAGAGTCAAGAGTCGCCACTCCAATCCCCAATTTTTTTGTGGGCTTCGCCATTTCAGTGCTTACTACAGGGGGGACACAATCGGCGACCGTTACGATTCGAAAATGTGACTTTATGAGCTTTAGATACGGCATCGTGCTAAGAAAGCGTCTCCAACTGACGTGTTTACCGCGTCCAAAAAAGTGGTCCCTCGATTTCCGCCTCGTGACGTCATACGAGTGTCACACTGTCGCCGGTCGCGATCCTGGCGGTGTCCCAGCAGCGGTAGTGTATGTGGCAGACGCCTGTTCTGCTGTAGGTTGTTGTCTGCACTTCGACAGTCCGCGGAAGCTACAACAGCTGGGAATTGGGACGCCCCGACGAGAGCGGCACTCATGTTCCCTAGTACCTTTAGCCAGCACTTCTATGACCAGCCGCCAGGATCGTGACATCCGACAGCATGACACGCCGGCGTTTGTGACGTGCTTTGTGTGCCACTTCGGGCCTACTTTCGATCTATGGGCGGGATGGGACGCTAAACGCACCGGTCGGGGGACGCGTTCCGGGCACCTTTATGCAGATGCGTTGTCACGAAGCACGGAGGCGATGTGGTCTTGGTCTACCGCGGACTGGTTTAACGTTTCTGGACGACGGAAGACTGTTTCCGGCGATTTCAGAGAACGCTTCAAACCATTCGCAGGGACGATTTTAAGCACCGAGAAGACTGATATGTCCTACACTTTGATGCGCAGTATATTTGTTGACTTTATGCGAGATTAAATTGGCATCACATCACGCCCCTGCTCGTACTACATGAAAGTGGATTAGGGGAACGCTGCTTGGTTTCGCCCCGATTAAGTTTCAGTTTGCAGAGAAAAAGTAGCGCGCGTATCATAGTTTGTGATTCTGGAAAAAAAAGAAAGATGTCTGAGCAATATCTTCTTTAAATTAAAAGATTTATTTCAAGAACTGTCAATGTGACAAGAGGTACGTCACGAATCCACACAAAACGCTAGAGTCATTGTAATCCAAATGATGGCTCGAGTTAAGATGCAGGTCCGCGGAAGAACGCAAAATATTTGAAAAAAAAACTTAAACTAATTCAGTTTAATATCGGTGTTGTCAGTTTTGGAGTTGGGTTGAACAGAGAGACCCATATAGAAGTATACAGTACGACGAAATTATTATAAGCAATATAGGTCTGGTGTTTGACAGTCGCTAATCTTGTTCAGATACTGCTGGCACTAGACGTCCGAGAGCAGAAAGAACAAAAGAGGCACTTACGTAAATCATAAGCGTAGCCATTCGGTCTCCGAGAATTCTCTAAAAGTAAATATAAATAATTAAAAAAAGGTTCTACCCAGAACAGTTATATTATGCTAACTCTTGTTCTTGAACACACACAAAAAAAATCACAGTTCATACATGCTCTACTTGGAGCCTCCTATTGAATAGGTCTCATCAGGGCCTCCTACTAGATAAGCCGCCGCGTTCGTAGTTTGAACCAGTTGCTTAGAAAACGAAAGAGCAAGAATGAAAAAATCAAGAGTAACTAAAATATTTGCTTACTAGGCAATGCAATTTGAACCGCGAAAAGTGAACGGCCTAGGCGTCGACAGCGTTTGCGTAGTAAGAACGACTGTGCAGGGCGTAGCCTCGGGATTTTCCCATTTGAATTGAGAGGGGTGACTGGCGCTACTATTCGTCGTGGATATGAGCCTTCAAGGCAGTGCAGACAGCCAGCCACCTTTGCCGTCTTCGCATATCCGCGGTTTCGGTACGTAGGTGGCAGCTCTCTCTCTTGGCACAGCACGGAAGAGCGATAGCGTTCAGAGTGCGGTGCGCATGCGTTCTCTAGGAAGCGAAGCTATTCTATACTGCGAGTTGGAGGATTGGTGCTCTAGGCGCGCTGTCTAATGGTGAATTCCGTTCGCAGATCTCGAGCGCTCCAAAAGCGCTCCATGCGGAGCGCGCATATTTCGCTTGCAGATCTTGCTCAAGCTGGTCATCTTCCGCTCGTAGATCTCTGGCAGCGCCCCCTTCATGGAGCGCCTCAAACCCCGCCGAACATTCTCTGCGGGATTTCACAGATATTTCCGGAAGTTGACAGAGCGCCGTAAGTCATTTCCTCCTAAATCGGCAGTGCGCTTGCGTGGCGAGGTTGGCGAGGTCGGCGGGCCGGTCGGGCCACGGTCAGATCGTCGAGTTGGATCCGTTCGGGTGCGTCGGTTGTTTACGTGGGATTGTGACGGCTTGAACGCTTCTACCCCGCGTAGACGGTAGATCAGGGATACAAAGCCGGGACTGTGGAGCGTGGTAAATCGGAAGCGCTGACATCACTGACTATGAGAGGAAGAACGACAGAAAAGTCGGACGCAGACGCAAAGTTAGGCCTGTTCATTCTGTAGCCAATGATTGTTTACCTTTTTACACTGCATCCCGCCGGCGTATTCCCGTGCAATAAAGCAAGAAAAGATTAGGCAACGACCGTTCATGTGATGCTTTGTTCTCTGTTTGCGTTTATTCAAGTCTTACCAGCATTTTTAGCCCCACCGATGGCGATCGCTGTCCGTGCCCCGCCGTTTCGAGGCGGCGGAAAGGTATGTCACGGTGCTGAACGCGGACGTCTTCGTTATTTCTGACATGGGCGCTGTTGTACGTATAATTTCGCCCGGCCTGTGTCGCGTGTTATTTCTGCAGCTAAGCAGTGACAGTTGTGGCTGGTCGCCGGAAAGATCAGTCGGCTGAGGCGTTGGTGGGCTTGTCAAGTTTGAGCGGCGGCCATTTTGAGCGGCGGAGGGGGAAGCGGAGGGGAGGGGTGTGAGGGACGTCGCTCCAAAAATGCGAGTTTTAACTTCCGCATCGTCGATTCGGAGCAGGTCCCACGGAGCGGAAATCCGCCTCTGTCGCAAATTTTGGAAAGCGCACCGGATCTACGAGTGGAATTCACCATAATCCAAATGAGTAGAGAGGACCTGATGTCTTGGCAAAGTACTGTAGAGCATAGGGTGGCTTCGCAGAGACCTAGGCCACCAGCGCCGGCAGAACACAAAACGGTAACCGCAGGCATCTTTTTTTTTTTTTTTTTTCGGGGTGAGGAGATGAGGAGCAAGTTGGAACAGCTTCAGAGAAGGGCCGTAGGACGCTACCGGCGCTGGCTTCCTAATTATTTTCTTTTTGCATTCGTTTTTTTCTTTTATTAGTCTCTGGCGCCGCACTACCAGGCCTCCCACTCATCGCTTTCACGTGACGTCCCCGTACCATGCTGATGATAATTTTTATTTGTCCAAGCTAAAAAAAAAAAAGTTTGATGTTTGAAGATATATGCAGTTGATGGTAAAGTTATCATACTTCACTTGTTAGTGAGCGCGTTGGTAATCATGTAAGTTTAGAAAGAGTTATATACGTAAAGACAGGGGACGGGACAACAGATATTTCAACTTTCAGCGAACAAATGATTTATTGCCGGCGCGCTTCGCCTTCAGAGCTCTACTACAGAAGAGGGAAAGTTAAAAGGAAGCTGAAGAGGAAGGGGGGGGGGGGGGGTGGGGGCAAGATAAGGTCCCGGGAGAAAAACGGGAGGGAACGTAAACTGCAGATACAGCGGGAAGGAGGGGAAGGAAGGAGGCATCCCGATTTCCCTCTCAGGAGCAATGACCATTTGCCCAGCCCGCCAAGATCGCCAGCTCCGGTCTCAGGAATGTCAGCTCTCTCTCCGACAGCGACAACGAGACCGACGAAATGTTCTTCGGCGCCTCTTTTATGACGTACGCCTCCACTATCTCGCGCCCGCAGTGGTTCTTGTTAACCCCCAGAACACGCGCGGAGGGGAACTCAGGGGCACAGGGAGCGCAAACTTGAGGAGATGGACCATGGGGTGTTGGGAGTCCTCGTCGTTTTTTGCTACTTCTTTTTCATGTTCGCGCTGGAGCTCGTTGAGGCAGCGGCCCGTCTGCCCGATGTACTATGCCCCGCACGAGAAGGGTACGGAACACACCCGTCCGACCGCGCAGGGAACAAAGGGGGCCGCGTGCCTTTTGGCGCAGCCGGTCTTGGGACGAGGGGGAGAGTATACCAGGCAGAGGATAAAGTATTCGGTGGGCGGATGAGAAGCACTGGCATGCCTGTGGGCATGTGAGCGGTGGCACAACTACCTGTGGGCCTCCGAATTAGGACATTATCGAGCCGACTTCTCTGCTACGACTTTCAAGTCGAGTTTCTAAAAGAGAGCGGAAAATCAGGTCGCCGACGCGCTTTCTCGTCCCCATCAGCCTGAGGATGAAGGCGATACCGAATTTGACGAGAAAATAATTTGCTTCATTGCATTGCAGAACGAATGTATCACCAAGCTTCAACTTTAAGAAGCTACAGCCAATGACTCAGTCTTGTCTGCTGCCATGGCATACGTTACATCAGCGTGGCCATCAAGACGGAACTTGTATTCTGAACGCATCCTTTTCTACGACCTAAAAGATGACCTCGTCGTGGATAACGGCTTTCTTTCAAGGGATGAGCTGTTTGTGGTCCTTCAAGAGCTGCAAGGTGTTCTCATTACCAAGGCACGCGAGGGGCACACCGGGATCGTCAAAACCCGTACAACGCTCCAAGAGCTCTACTGGTGGCCGAAAATGAATGCTCAAGTGTAGAATTTCATTCATGCCTGTGACATATATGTCAAGCGGACGACAAAAGCGCAAAGACCTCTTCCACTCCGCTTCAACCAGTGCCTTTCCCTGATCGACGATAATCGAAGCAAGGAATTGACAGAGTGGGCCCTTTTGAGAGGGCAGGACCATCATGCCGCTACGCCATAAAACTGGTCGATTATTTTTCAAAGTGACCAGAAGTGCAGTTTTGTGCAAATGTCACCACCGCAAGGGTAAAAAAATTCTTGCACCTGATATTCTCCAGAGAAGGTTTACCAGAGAGCCTAGGTTCTGACAACGGTTGCCCAATTAATTTCTCAACAATTCAAAGATTTCTTCTTAAGTTCTCGTGGAGTCAAACACCATTTCACTTCGGTGTACTACCCGCAAGCCAACGGGCAAGTTGAACGTTTTAATAGAACACTCAAGAGTTTCATCCAGTGTGCATTGAAGGAGAAACTGGAGATAAAATCTGCTGTAGTTGATTACCTGGGCGTATATAGATGCACACCACATACAACAGGGCACTCTCCGGCTCTGCTATTTCATGTTTGCAAACACCGGACGCGATTGAACATTCTGGGTCTCTCATCGTTAGAGTTTCTTTGTAATCCCTTCAAGGATGTGCAGCGACTTTGTCGACGTGTTCGACAACAAGACAGTAGACCAATGCCTACACCGACAGAAGATGGGGAGCTAGAACACCGAAGTTCAAGGTCGGACAACTGGTCCGAGTGAAAAAGCCCGGGTCTGTTTCGAAAGGGTACTCCGCCTTTGGCAGTCCCTTCCGGATTGTTGAGTGTGGGGGCCACTGGACATTTCGGTTAGAAGATGGCAGATTATAAAATGTTTCAAAGCTAATGGCAGCTACAGGACCGGCTTCCTCTGGTTTGGACCAGAGAAACCCGGTACCAACAGGTAAGTTTAGTCAAAGATCAGCCCACCATCAACACTTGCAACCACCGTCTGCACCAGTGTACTGGCGGAGCCAGCATGACCAGCGGACGCCACGGGCATCAGCCGGTTCTCCAACGCCATGCGGACAACTCACGAGGTCAACTCCTCGGCCGTCATCGCCAACTGGGAATCGACATCTACCGGTACCTCCATCAGGTCCAGCGGGAGATGTGCAACGGCTGGATTAACGACGGCGGGAACGACGACCTTGATGTCTATGTCTTAAGAAGAAAAACTTTCTGCCTCTGTATATGAACATTTCTACCTCTCTTTTATTTATTGTCGATTTTCTCTTTGAATCTTTTTCTTAGACTTCCTCTTTATAATTACCCTGTTTAATTACTTTCCTTAGGCTTTCCCTTTCTTTCCATTACTTTCCTAAGATTGGGGGGATGTTGTATTTTATAGTTAATTACTTTATGGTCACTTCGTCTTCTTCTGTCCTTTGCCCTTTCTACTTCCTCGTCTTTACGAAAAAAATTAAAGATTGAGTCTCGTGGCAGCCGCGCTCAAGTGTGGTCGTTCCAGTCCGGGCCTCCAGACACTACAGTTCTGAAAACGTTTCTCGTCAGTATAAGCGCGATTGGAACTGTGTATGCAATCAACTTATCGATCATGCTTGCACAGATCTCTTACAACGGTATCAATTTTCGTAAGTATTTTAAAACAGGGCAAATATTTTCCCGAGCCGTCAAGCAATGACGCCATTTGCGGTCGCGGTGCGAAGATGCGCGCTTGTCTTGCTGGTGTGCACTTAACACAATTTCGGTATACAAGAAATTTTTTTACAAAGCTACGTACTCATCGCGAATTCGTATCAGCTCATCAAGGGTGGAAAGATCAAGAAGAAACGGCTTATTCTATGTACAAAAATGAAATGTAAAGTGTTACCAAAGTGACGCCGAAATTGCAGCTGACGCTACGCTGATTCCCCATCAAAAGCGTTAGCATTTACTGCAGGGATTCCGACTCAGAAAAGAATGGGAATTTCAACGGTTCGTATACCGCCGTGTTCGAAGAGTCAGTCTATTCTCTCGGGCGACGGCGGTTTCGGATGCAGCAATCACAGCTTCCCCCTTCTCCCGCTCTTGTGGCGCGTCACGGGAAGCGTGCCAGGAGCCAGTTAGTTATTTTTCAGACATCAACCCAAATGTTTAAAAATTATAAGCAGCGCAAAGACACGGACGAGAACGAGAAGGTAGACGAGCGAGGCGCTGACTTACAACTGAAGTTTACTCGTTGTTGCAGAACTGTTGAATTCATGTGGCGTCAAACTTCGATGCACCTTCCAGCCGACATTCCAAAGGCGACGCCGGCTGTGGGAAACCAAGTTCAAAAGTTGGGGCACGTTGAACTCTCAGTGAAATCGGAAAGAGTCCTGAGCCAAGGCCCGAGGTGCGCGGTCGAACCAAGGAAGTGGCCTTGCCTTGCGAGCTGGTAACGATGGTCGGACAAGTTCCCGGACGAGCCCCGGAACCTGAAGTTGACATATGTATATCTGAAGGTGTGGACGCGTTGTAGCATTGCAAGCCCTCTGAGTCCAAGGTTCCGCAGAAAACCGACTATCAGCTACTTTAAAAAAAATTCCCTGTCTTTATTGCCAGCGTATAAAGAGGGTGGCTTCACTGTGGTTCCTAAGAGGATATATATGTCTGAAGCCTCAGACGCCATAACGGCCACGTTTATGCGCAGATATGACGTGTCACTTTCAAAGGTAGAAACTGAAGCACGTAGGCTTTGCAAACGCCTAAGCCGAGATAAACTGTGCGCATCGGTCGATAAGAGCAAAGGCTTAGGTCTAGATTTATTACTTTCTGCCAAAACAAAAAAAAGATTGACTGTGCGCTACGCGTGATTGTATGGGAGAAAAGGACATGGCCAAAAGCTGCGACTTCTTTGCAAACAAAATCGAAAATGTTTTTGATTGACGATCCCTTTCGGGTGAAGAACTCTGCTCAGATAATAGATGCTTTGAAAAACCACCCAGACTGAAACTGCTGGCTTGCTCGATAGACATTAAATGTATGTTTTATACGATTCCCCATAAAGAGCTGTTGGCATCTGTTGCTGTTGACAATCACGGTACCGTGCCTTTCAGAAAAATTATGGAGTTAGTGTGAGTCATATTCTATAACTCTTATCTTTTTATCTCAAATCGACGTTCCCAATCATGTGATGGAAGTGTTTTTATTCAGAGAAATGGCGTTTGCATAGGGTCGTGCGCTCCAGCATTTAGCGATATATTTCTTGAGTTCCACGATAGAGTCCTAGCTGTTAAGCAAGGTAAAAGGAACCAAGTTTGGGAAACATTTTTAGACTCGTAGTTGGCTATTTGGTGTTCCTAGATTGTGGCAAAGAAGGTTTGGATACTGCTGTGTCGTTCGTCTTTTTAATGTTCAAAGAGTGTCTGAAACCGCTCGTCAGGACGCACGAAGTACCTGTAAAATGGACCATTGGGCTTCTTGAAACTGAGCCTTGAGCTTGGTCATAGCCATGTGTGCTGGATTTATGAGCCAAGGGTTAAGAAACCCATCTTGCATTTTTCCCCAGTCATTTCAAACATGTTGAAAGGGGAATTATTAACCTCTGTTTTAGAAATACCCTGTTTAAGTCCTGCCCCCACAGGGTAAAAGAGAGCTTCTACAGACAAGCGTCAAGGCTAAGAGAAGCGGGATATACGTCTTACCTTTTCAAGACAGTTCTTTTGAGCCTACTTAAGAAAGGATGTGAGGAAACGACCCAACAGGCTTTTAGGTTTGACAAAAAAAGTAATGGTTTTACTTTAAGTGCATAAGATATCGTTTAAATTAAAGAAGGTTGGCCAAAGTCGTGGAGTTGATGTAGTTTTTTCACATCCGGAAAAAGCTGTCTGGGCTGTGGAGCAAGGAGCGCTCCAGTTCTAAAAAAAGGTATGGATTCACCAAAAAATACCATGACTGATATGTGAACCGTGTGCAAGGAGTAGCGTACTCCATTTGCTGTCATACGGTAGGAGATACGCCGGGCAAATCGGGCGCCGCCTCAAGGATGGCTTGCAAGAACATAAGTACAACGTCTATAGGGTTGTGTGAGGTCACCTTGGCCTGCACTGTCGAGACTCTGGTTACACTCCTGTCTTCGACAAATTTGAAGTGATTAGAAAGAACGAAGATAAACTCACTCGAAAAATTATTGAAGCGCTGGAAAACGAACGATTGAAAAAAAAAACTCTGTCAGCGCTCCATCACCACCTCTGTCTAATAAAGAACGTTGATCTTTAGATACACAGTATCAGCATGTGATGGAGGCTTAAGGAACACGTGGCGTCCATGTCATGGTTTTTCTCTTTTTTTTTGACGTTGCAGTATTTATACTCGATGTTATCACGAATTAACTTGAGTTGTAAGCCATCGCCTCGTTCGTCTACCTTCTCGTTCTTGTCCGTGTCTCTGCGCTGTCTTAATTTTTAATCATGAAATACCAACTAGCCCAAACTTCCATCTTAGTCAACTGAAATGTCCAAACGGAGTCAACCGAACCTAACAATACTTGATGCGAGGGAAAAAGAGAGGACGGAGGACAGCGGAGGTGGAATCAGGAAAAAAGGAAAGCGAAGAACGAAGAAGGAAAGGGAAGAATTGAGAGAGACAGAGAGAAAGGGGTGGGAAAGAAGAAAATAAGCACCCCTGATATACTGGGCTCGTTCTTTGGGCTTTGATGGCGCTAGATAGTTTTTTTTCTCTTTAGAGCAGAATTGTTGTTTCTGAACAGGATCCGCTTTTGTTTTGGCTTCCGCCATTCTCATTTATGTTTTATTCGTTTAAGTCCGCAATGCTATCGCTGGAGCAGTCAAAGGTACTTTACTTTTCAATTCTTCATTCACCTCACCTCAACAATGCAAGAGGGAAAGTTGATGTATAAATGAGCAAACGAACAGAACGAAAGAGCACGCCGGGAATCGCGCAGTGCCCCGCGGTTCCACGAAACCAGTTCACTCCAGATCAGTCCAGTCCACACCAAACCACGACCGTCCAAACGAAATATGGCTCCATGAACAAGGAAATTATATGCTGACGCATTTAGAATGATAATGCTTTCCCGGGATCTAGTGACTTAAAAGTGAAAGCGAGGGATCCTTCGTTGTAACGCTGGAGACGAAGGGCGAACGCGAAGTTGAGACAAAAACACAACACTTTAGATTGAGACGTGTTGTGTGCGTGTCCCCATTTGTATTCGCCCCCCTTCTTGGTCTTTTACTAGAGGAACCGATGCAATATATCGTCTTCTGAGCTAATTTAGATTATTTATGAATATCATTCTAAGTAGCCCCCGGACTCGACAACAGCAGCATAAAAAGAAGGACCTTCGGACTACTCACGTCATTGCAAGATGGGATGGAACCTTCAAGATAGTCGTGATGCGGCACGTAGTGCCCTCCAATCCCGTAGTTGGCTAGCTGCCATTGATACAAAGTAGACACAGATAAGAAATAGAAGTAAACTTGAGCACACACAATTCGAAGTCCTATAATTTATCTCACTCGCTACGCGCAAGCCTGTTGAAGCCACGGCAGGGTGTGAGCGAAAAGCTGCATTTTTACGAAGTTTATGTGGTGACCCAATCCTCTTGGGGGGAAAAGCGACGCGGTGGTACAAAAGCAAGTGTTCGGTTAAAAAAGAAGTGTTCTCCTCCTGTTCAGCTTCTGACGTTACTATCACAACATTTTATTTTTGGCAATGCTGCGAGCAACTCTACTCGTAGTTACATCAAGTAAAAAACAAGTTTTGCACATTTTTATGTGCTGCTCCAAGGAGCTCTTACAACATTTGGATGCCGAAGGAAAAAGCCATGATTTTAGCGTTTGAACGTATACCTCTTGATGAGATAACATATGTCTAATCTGAAATGCACCTGCTAAAATCTTAATTCTCTACATGAAGGGAAAAATTAGTAACAACCCACAAGAAGACTTTTTTTTTTTTTTAGCTACGGTTTTTGTGGCGAATATAACTATGAGATAGAGAATGGATGCAGCTCCAACCTCGCGCATTCAATCATTTTCCTATGTCCCACGCCCTTCCCGCTAGGGGGTGTTACCTTCCTTGGAGTTACGAATGGCGGTAAAAGCGTTCGCCGATTCTGTAATCTGTTGAAGGCAATGGAGGAAATCGGTAAAAATCATCTAGTTCTCGCTGTTATTTCACAAATGGCACAGCATAAAGCAAAAACGTGAAATCCCCTTAAAGGTAAACACCCAAAGTCAGATCGAGCAGTTTCGAGCGTGTGTGGTACGATGCGTGAGTAGCAGCGTCCTCCAGACAGTTTTCACTGTTTTTTCTCATGTGCATAGCAAACAAACATAATTATTTAGGCTTATGTTTGTTTACTAACACCCACAGGGTGCGGTCGTAAGGACTAACAGATTTGGAACGCCTTGCAAAATATGAATTCCCAACGTACATGCCTGAAATTGGTATACACGAACGTAGTTTCGCAAGAAGATTTGGTGAAATAATAATAGAGCAATAACAATGGCCGTGCATTTTTTATGCCATATCTGGTTGTGGTTTGTGTTTCTTGCTCCCAGGTGGTCATTGTTTATATATTTTGTTGAAAGTATAAATTATCGCGATTACCTTACTTATATTGCCAGCCTCTGCCATTGGGTTTTAGCGTTTTTGTGTTTTTGCGTTCAGCAAACCCGCATCGAGCGACCTCTTAAACCAGTGTGCAGTCGACAAAGAGTCTGGTATAAGACATACGAAACACACGTGCTCCGAGGTTCCTTTATTTTTAATAATTCGCTACCTCAGTATTGAGACCTAAAAAAAAGACATGATACTTTTTGCGAAATTACACTTGCGTGCCCGTTTTCAGGTATATACGTTTGAAATTCGCATTTCGCAAGGCATGCGTGCTGGTCCCTACGGCCTCACCCTGTACATTCATGCATATTTAATATAATAAATGCACAACCTAAAGAAAACTCTGGGAAAAGTTTAAATCCGCTGAATTCATGGGTTTGTTTATACAAATGGTTTCAGCTCCCCACCCCCGCTCTCCCCCCAAAAATATTCAAAAACACTTTACACAGACCTGTGTTCCAATTTCGGCGGGACCGTTGGCCGCTTGTGCTATCGTACCGCCTCTCGGAGCATGCGGAGCGAGAGCTCTCGCTGCTGAACCTGGGATACTTTTTTCAATCCCCACCTTTGCACATTTCGATCTGGATGAGCATCGTAAGGTCGTGGGGTCGCGTAATCACTACTGCGTAAAGCACGTTAAAGATCCTAGATCGGTTGTGACTATAATGACTTAATTTTTCACCTAGAGCGGCGACGCCAGTTGTCCACTGGGACTGAGTAGCTTTCCGTTGTCTACGACTGATCTCACCAATATCTGCAGTACCGACAAAGCCATGGGCTCGAACGCGTGGCTTTAAAAAGAGCTTTATATACACGAGTTCTCGTAGAACCAGAAGTATTTCCAACTTTCACGGCTTCCAGGGCCGCGCTAGTTCCTATCAAAATGGCTCTCCACTGGGTGATCGTTGGAGAACAGCAGTACGCGATTGGGTATACGACGCGCAAGTAATTCTAAGTTTGGGAAAAACGAGTGATAGAAGAGCCTTACCTGACACTCCCACGTCAGGAAGATGTAGGCAAGCACGTTCATTCTAAAGTCGATTATAAAGGAGCTAAGGAATGCGATTCTCACACCGCTGTGCCTCTATCGCTGAAAGTTGCGGATTCTGTTGAGCTAAGTTCACGCGCTTGTGCCTTTATCTTTACTGCACACATTTGTACGATGAAGTATAAACAAACACAAAACACAATAAACAGAAATACAAGAGAGGTCTAACCTGGTATTGTTCCGCCTCGCTCATGCCGTACAAGGTTCCCAGACCCAAGAGAGACTGCAGATGCTTATTCACTCTTTCAGCAACCGGAGCATCATAGTCGTTCAGCCAGGCACTGGTGTCACAAGAATGTTTTGCATAAAACAAAATTCGTCGCGATAGCTGCAGCTTTGGCTAACATACGGTCTGTTGCAGGTTATGAAAAGCAGGATGGGCTCCGGCAGATTTTTTGAGCTACCTAAAATAAACACATTTTCTGAAATCCAGAACTTAACCCTTCTTAGAATGCTCGTTATCGCCTTTAAATACAAAATGGCAATTGAGGGTCGAGCAAACAAAGTAATGAGATTAAAGAAATAAAAAGTTTGCGGCGCGCTTCTTTGGGGCGACGTCACATGTATATCCCGAAAATCAAGCAGGCAGTCTAAAGAAACAGCCTATTGGGCATGTTTTTCGTTTTGCTGACGTGGGCCTAACCACTATTCATTTCACGCCATCAAAACCTCTTGTATCCTCTTTGAAACAAGCTGAAATTTCCCCATATTAAAACGTGTGACGTCTGTTTTCAGGGTTACCAGTAAAAGCTTTTCGCCACCTTATTAAAAATCCATCTATGGGGACTACCAAGATTTCTCAAATGTTTTGACGTACTCATAAATATGTTTGACGTATTTGAAATGTCCGTCAAAGTTTTCTAAGGGGCCTACGTACCCAAATACTTAAAGGGCGTAAGAAACCGGCCATAACTTTTTGGGAGGCCTGCGTGCCTGTCCCTATCACTTCCGTGAAACCACAGCACCCATCAGAATCCTTATAACGGATCTGTGGGGGCAATCACGTGACCCTTCAGGATGCATGCGCCGGGAAGCGCTTGGCCGTTTCGTTCTGGGCGGCCAATATGAGTTTTGTAAGTTGTGGAGATGTTCCCCGTCCCTTCCCGTCGTTGCGCTGACGCGACTCCGCGCCGAAGGGGAAACAGGTGCGCACGAGAAACGCCCCCATGGAAAAGAGGTCGCTGCTCTGCACTTGAGCTTTTCTGGTTTCCGCCCTTTCCCCCTTGCACTGTTTTTCTTCATCAAGTCCTCGCTCACAAGAGAGAGAGGGCGCATGAGAAAAATGGGAGGAGCGCGTTTTGCTGTTTGTTTTTGTGCCGGGTTGAGGTTTGCTGGGTTGAGGGGGCTGGAAGCGCTGAGAGGGACCCATAACACATCGGGTTTGAAGTGCTATTTTCAATAGCGCATGGACGGGGGGGAGGGGGGGGGGGAATGGGGGAAGGGGCAAAACCTAAAACTTTACTAACTTCGCAAGGGAAAAAATATTCCAACTCCTGATATTAGCTACCAGTTCAGACCTGTTCAGTATACTGAAACAATTTTGAGGCAAATCAGCAACAATTTGTTCGGAACGAAAGCGATCTTGTCATTCCACTTTCGTGGAGAGAACGTTAGAAAGGAGGCGAGTTGAGTGGAGAAAACTATCAATAGTGACGACCAGAGAGCTTTGTGGGATTGGCTTCTGCTTTCCTTAACATGCAACTGACTACATAGTTTTGGTAATCACATGTATGTCTAGTGTTGCCATAGTCTTCTTTGTATTTATGACGTTTAGTTTCAGTCATGAAAAGTCATTACGTTCTACTGCTTCCCTCGTTCATCCATTATTTACCCAGGTTTAATGACCAGTTCAAATCGAGAGCAGCGGAAACCTAAAGGTCGATCTCGCTGTTAATTGTTTTATTACAAATGGCTAACGGTTTTGGTACGATTTACTTCTTGGTGAGGTATTAAACAAATCTAATGTATTATCCAGATGGCTTATCTTGCATTAGGAAATTGCGTTGAAGTTCTCTATTTTAAAACAACTACAAAAAGCTACTTTTTATTTTGAAGCTTTATCTTGGGTTAATTAAAGTTGAAGTTGGCTTGTCTGACTGAAGCCCAGCCGCCAGCGAAGGGGGAAAATTAACACAAGAAGGTCCATAGAAGTACAAGTGTGAGTTACGAAAAATATAGATGTTTTACCGCTTAGATGGCACAATATAATATTAGTAATAATAATAATATTATTAATAATAATAAAGTTCATGTTGGGGATAAGAAATATTTACTTGGAGCTAGTGCGATCTGGTGGCTCATCATTTTCACTCCCGCTTGACGTTTTTGACTGTTGCAGCTGTCGCGAGAAAGAGAAAAAAAATTGTACGAAGTAAACCTTAGATTTTTTATTGTATCATTTATTTATTTATTTATCTACAGATCCTACTACACTCTCACGGAAGGCATCGTAGGACCGGGGGAAAGGTGCAATATAAGAAATATCAGTGCGACAAAGTTATTAACAACTGTACTAACTAGAAACCACAATTCAAAGGTCACACCATGCTAACACAACAAAAAGTGTCGACAGTAGCAAGAGAATCCTCGGTCAGAAGTGATCCCCTACCTCACACATACGCGCGCACACACACACACACACACACACACACACACACACACACACACACGTGCAATGTCTAATAAAAACATCAGAGTAGTGAAGAAATGACACGTGAGTCACACGTAAACTGATAATTTAAAAATTTTAGATCACAATAACATGGGGTTCGTTTTACAATGAAAATAGTGATACTTTAAATGATTATGAAGATGCTGCAGTTATAATGTCAAAAGGTAATTCATTCCACTCTTTTACGGTGCGACTTGTGTATTATAAACCCATCGTTGATCAGTGTGTATAACAAAGTGCGTATATTAATTTTCTTGCGCGTTTGAAGGGGCTGTATGTCTGCTATGCCGTAAAGTGTTCTCACAGAATCTAGCCTTTTATGTTTGGATCTAAGGGCTTTCTTTTGTATTCTTTCCAGTTTGTGTTTAAGGACCTCTGCGTATCCTAAATAATATTGGCATATTCTAAAAGGGGCTTGACGAGTGTTTGTAAGCTGTTAGCTTTGTTGCTGAGGTAGAGTGTCTTAGGCGACGTCTAAGATACCAAAGTTGAAACACCGCTTCCTGGCACAGCAAGTCATTCCATCTAAGGTCAGGATTGTAATACTGACACCAAAGTATTTAAAAGATGAAACCTGTTGCAGAGGAAAAATTTTTAAAGTTATGTAAAAAGGGCAAAAAAGTCTTTCTGCGGGTTACTGTCATTGAGACACATTTTTTTGGGGTTTAAAATCATATGCCATGTCTGGCACCGATTGCTAATTTTGGTCAGGCTCAAATTCAGATCAGCTTGGTCTGCGACGTCTTTTATTTTGTTAACTATTGCAAGATCATAAGCAAACAGACGGACATTAGTATTTATATTGTATTTTACTAGATCGGTAATGTATACAAGGAAAAGGAGAGGGCCTAACACAAATCCCTATGGTACGCTGGAACGTACCGACAGGGATGGTGATCTTTGTCCTTTTACCGCAATAAACTAGTGTCTATTGCATAAGCTGTCTGTTAGCTAACGACGCAGGTTGTGAGTTAATTACATTTTGGATAGTTTTAAAAGCAGTTTGGGATGTGACACTCGGTCGAAGGCCCTGTCCCCTCACACTAATGATATCCGAAAAGTAATGAACAGTTTCCGCGAGTTGCATAGTCGTAGAAAGCTTCCGCCTTCCGCCCTGACGTCCCTCCGGTTTGCATTCTTCGGAAGCGTTTATATTTCCATCTTGGTTTCAACTGGGGTGAAATTAGCCTCGTAGCACGTGCTAAAAACGTTTCCAGAGTCAACGAAGTTTAGTTTCGTTTTTTGTTCTAGTATGCCTTAAAATATATCCTTGTCTTCCGCAAGAAACGCTTGGCAACATTCTACGACAAGCAGCGAGCGTCCTGGTTGGAGACTAGGTCCGCCTCCCCTCGGTGCGCGGTTCAAGGTTAGGCTTGTTAAGACAAGATTAAGATGTTATCCTAGTCTTCAGCCAGGACGTTCGCTGCTTGTCGTGCAAAATTACCAAGAGTCGCTCTCTCAAACACACACCACTGACCACAAAAAAAAAAGAACATACAGGTGTTGTTTTCGACCGTGAAAGAGCACTACCAATCAAATGAAACATCTAAACCAGTAACAAATAGAAAGATCTGAAAAATATCTGGTCTCAAAGCGCTCATTAGAAAGCACCAGAAGTCGCACGGCCATTGCATCCATGATGGGTGCGCTCGCGGCAGCTTTGGTTTGTTTGGATTATGCGTGGATACCTCCTCCTGCGTTCCGTTACAGTAAGTGCGCCGCTAACGCTGGCCGTCCGCGATACACCAGACGTCGCTATCTTGTCATCGCACACCCCAATGACATGCCCCTGGCGCAACCCAGATGGCGGAAACGCTACGCTGCGCCAGTATCGCTCAAAATGGCAGCGCACAGGAACCTTTCTTGGAAACGTATACTTCGTCTCATCTGAGCATGGACTATTGATAGCCGTGCACACAAAAAGCGCGAGCTAATTGCTTTAAGTGAAGCTTCGAGGGCTGCACGAGCCTTCGTGCAGCGAACGAGTGCTCCAGTCAAAGGAGTCTAGGCTAGACGCTCGTGCTTGCACAACCTGTGCAGTTAGTCCTTGCCAGGCTGAGACAAAGTATTGTAGCAATATCCGAGGACTGTACGTCCTATGGCCCACCGAAGCTTGCCCTAACGTCATTCGTGGCCATGCCGATATTTTATGTGCCACGAGCGTTCAGTTTACCGTTCTAGTTTAACACCGCAACTCCAGAAAACAAGTGAGTAAAAATAATCGTCTATGCCCAAGACTGGCGACACCTGCAAGCTACGTATATACGGCATTCAGTGGGTGCCATAATTGAGTGCGTTTTTCACAGCGCATCACTTCGAGGGGGGGGGGGGGGGGGGGGGGGGGGGGTCGAGGGCGGGGGTGAATAGTTGGTTTAGAAAAGGTGTCCGCATTTTCAAATCAAGCTCTTGCCTAACCTCTGCAAAGAACGCCGACCAGTGGATCACGAACTAGAACCCGCAATTGCAGCATGTATATAATTGTGTCACACACAAAAAAAGAGAGTGGACGGAAAGAAAAACATGACGTTGGGGTGGACGCCACGAATGCCCCTCTTTAAAGTAGCGTTGGGCACGCGCCGCAGCTCAGAGAGCGAAGAAACTGGTAGCGTAGCTCCCATTATCGTTTGGTAGCGCAGGTAGGTCACACCCTCGATTTTTAGTTGCGGCAGAAGTCGCCTGATGCCGCCGGTGTCTGGAAGAGGTTCATTTCGCTCAGGCCCAGAAAGTAGTAGCGGATTGTTTGGAATACGTAAAATCAACAATCCCCCCCCCCCCCTTCAAAAAAAAAAAAAAAAAAAAAAGAGCATGTGGAATTACATTGACGCTGACAATATCTCATTTCAATGGTTTGTTGATGCGAGACGCGGCGCTCGATTCCCACACCCGATCGCGCATGCGCGGCGCCGGTGGCGTGCCGCTAGGGGCCCTCCAATTTCTTTGTGAACATGTATAGGTGTACATCAGCCTATAGTCCCTTATAACTAAATTATAGTGGTGGGCGAATACCGGTTCAAATTGACGAGCTCTGCTTAAGGCTGCGGTCCCACGGCGGCCATGACATATGACGCTTTCAGCACGTTTTCGAAATGCGATCGTGGCGTGTTCAAGCTTGCTAAAATTATGTGTTATATATCATCTTGTAGTGTACAACATTATCTTTTATCTGATGTAGGATTTGTTTTCCTAGTGCAAAAAGCTAATTCAGAGGGCACCCGCGAACATTGACCTTTTCGGCAAAACATGGTTTCGTAGTACAGTGGTACAGGGTGCACTATTGGAGCAATTTCTTTCTAATTTTAGAATGTTATAGAAGAAGAGTGCGTTCATTGTCAACGGAGGCCCTTTTTTTGTTTTTTATTTTATTTTGACAGATATTTACTTTAGAAAAATTGACTTTGCGGAAGCACTTCAGTCGCGAAGTTTTGGGCGCCTACTCGGTCATTTTATTTGAAACTTTTTACATCAGTTTGTAATTATGGTCGAAAGAGTTACGCTAAATTTCATTGTAATATGGCTTAAACTTTTTTCGGAATGCTCACGTGAAAAGTGACAAAAACCGTTAATTTTGGCAAACTTCATTTGGTAGTACAGTGGTACAGCGCTTAGGGATTGGCACACATGAATAAAATTGTAGGCCCGCAAAGAAAAACATATTCCGCTTTGCAAAGCGAGGCCCTTTTTCTAAATTTCACTTTTGATTTTCCATAAAAAAAGTTTGAATATAGGTGAAATCACGTATTTGTTGATAGTCAAAAACGAGTATTTTGACCCCTTTTGGCAGACATTTAGGCCGATATTTTTAGTATTAAATGGAGATTACTGTTCCAGGTCCTGATTATTAGCGCACATTTTCACTAATCGAGCCTATTTATTAAAAAGAATCATAAAACACACAGAAAACACAAATTGGATGTCTGGTTGCGCCCTCTATGTGGCGGTGGCTGAAATGTGACTACGCGAGGTTCAGGAAACTGCCGAGGATGGCGCTGATTCCAGCTGTGGTTGCCAGCTTCGGAAACTGGTTGTACACTTGGCTTCTTCCGTTTCTTGCAAAATAACGTGCTGGAAAACTTGGTCGAAACTCGTGAGGTCCTTTATAACACGGTACTTTCTGCTAATATAGCTTTTAGGAAGAATTTCAGTCGCTTTCATATTGTTAAACGATTTTTTTTTTATGCGAGGCTCCACCGGTTCAGTTTGCTGAATAAATTGTTCACGGAATCGATATCGAAGTTTCAAATTACCGAAATGCCAAAATCGCCAGTTCTGCGTAGATACGCAGCGTGACGCACGTGCTTCTGGTGCGTGTGCACGTACGTGTTTGCTGCGCAGTTCTTCGGTTGCTGCGAGTTTTCGCGTATTTATTGTGCACTGCTTACCTCCGTCTGCGCACGCATCTCATCCTTGTAACTACCCCTGCTCTGTTTGCCTAGAGTGAAGTTTGTGTCTGTCTTTTCGTTCGCTGACTAAGCTCGTGTCGGTGTCCTTCCTACTGGCTGCTGTTCGTGTTTGCGTACCGTGTGTGTCGCTTTGATTACTAGGTCCCCTGCTTATGGGGTGGAGCAAGCGGTGGGCGTCGCGCCAGGGGTGGGTCGTGATTGGGGAAACAGCTTAGCAGCCGACGCCGACTTCGGCGCGTTTCTTCTGCGCACGCGCGTACTGTCATT